GTCGGGCCATCCCATCTGTGTGATATTGCAACATGAAAAGTCACATACATACTAAGGAGACCCCACAGAATTGAGAGCCTTTCAACAGTACAGAGCCATAGATTACAAAATTAAAATACAAATGATCCCCCGAATTTGGCAGGAAACAAGTACAATATGAGGAGGCCTGGAATGGAAGGGCACTTGCTTTTTGATAAGGCAGTTACAAAATGGAACATGAACCCACACTGCGAAAACATTCCGATGGGCATCACGGACAGCAGATGCATACAACAGGGGTCCTGGAAGCCCTCCGTCCCTGGCGACGATGTGCTCGTGGAGTGAGAGCAACCGAAGGCTTCGTGGCTTAGTAGGACGCAAGCTAGATGAAATAACGGAGTGTAGACATTTCTACCTTAACAAGAGGTCCCACCTGGCCCCAGACTAGACTCCGCCTCAGAGTGTCAGATCCACCTCACCCTTCCTAACCTTGAACTTGGAAAACAGTCCATAATAAAATGAAGGGAACAGAAAGGCACCCCAAAGCACCCTGCTTCCTAGGCTGAGACCTTGAGTTCACTTGTCCTTTGGTTCAACCGTCTAACCCAGTAACCAGGACTGGGAAGCCGCGAGTCACCGGGCCTCAGAGTTACGTCTGTCTGAATCAGGGCCAACTGAATGACACAAACCCCAAGGACCACCTGACAGGCAGAGGACTGACCAACAGATCAGAGAGCAAGCCCATTTTGTGAGGATTCCGATTCCAGGACAACACTATAGCTCCCACCAGGACTTCCGAACTCGGGTCTTAAATCATCAGCTAGTTCTGTTCTCCCCAGACAGTCATTTGGCGAAACTCAGCTGACTGCTTTCCCGATCATGTCACACGGCCTCTGGGAGCCAGGCTGGCCTTGGGAACCTCTCTGCTCAGTGGCAAGGCCTCAAACATCTGAAAGCAGCTTACTTTCAACAGGACTTGAGTTATGTGCAAGTCAGAGAGTGAGAAGAGCTCTGCACGGGTCAGGAGGACAGAAGGTTAGTCCAGACCGCCCTATGACTCAGACAGGTCATTCTCAATGTCCGTCTCCTGTCTTTAAAATGAATGATGGGGCAAGAACAACCTTACAAGGCTTTTAAGCTTGAAAATATGGCACTTCTCAGACATGGAGACATGTGGTGTGCCCCTCCCCCAAGGTCCTAAGCTTTGTTTTTGCCATAAAAATAATGTGTGAAGTACTTGCAGAAATCTTAAAGTACAAGCTCTCAGCAGCCATGGAGCCCTTAAACTCCACACAGAGCAGTATTTTACAATCTCCTAGCTAAAAGTTTTCCCAAGTGACGTGAGCATCAGCTTTTGTGGGGCGAGCACAGAACTTGGGCCCCACCCCTTCTTAGGTTACTTTATCAGGCTGAGAGCATCCCCTCGTCCCTGACCCCCTCCATCCGTTTCCGCAAGAACACGGGAGAACCAGGCTGATGGGGTTTCTGCAACATCCTTCAACAAGGAACTAAATGGACCCATGCTGAAGGGGCAAGACAGCCAGGACACCAAAGTTATCTATCTGCTAGTTGCTCCTTCCCAAAAGACAACTGCTGTGCCCTGGGACAGTGCCAGCAATTAGGTGCTTGGCCAAGATGAGTAACTTGTTCCACATGCCCCCCCCCCCCGCCCACTGGGCAGAGACTGAGATAGAAATGACAGAGAACATAGAAAAGCCAGAGATTTATAGAGATTGAGCAGGCTTCCCCAGGAGGTAGTGAGTTCCCTGTCCTCAGAGGTGTTTAAGCCCAGACTGCCCAAACCCTTGGTGGGACAGTTGCAGGCAGAATGTCAGCACCTGTGGGGAGACTGGACTGATGACTTAAAGACCCTTTCCCAATTTTTGGATCTCAATATTATAATGACTGAGAGCCTTCAGGTGACTTCCATGAAGCAAGTTCTCTGGGACCCGTGGTCTGGACAGGCTGTTTCAGTAGACAAGGCCCCCCGAGTAAGTACCTGCTCCTACTTTCTCCCTTCCACCAGGGAGCTGTCCTGCAGAATAGTAACCAAAAACTTCCCAGAAAATAAGCAGTTGAAATGCCAAGGTTAGATGTAATATTCCAGCCACAAACAATTACTAGTATCTGTTCCCTGGAAGGCTAGTGGTATCAGCCACGACAGGAACTTCTACAACTTGGCTGCTCTAACGCATAGGTGCAATTCCTCGTCATTTTCCAATGCCAATCCTGAAGCGTTTGCTTTCAATCTCTCATGGGATTCAGCTATGAACTTCTTCACGTGATGTTGCCAACCCAAGAGTCTGTGAAAATAAAAAGTTTGTCCATTTGTCTTTTTAAAACCCTAAGTCGATGCAACACGAGTGGCAGGCTACAGGCACTTCCACGTGGACAACCTTCAGGGCATATGAAAGAACCAGACCAGGCTGGGCCGAGGCAAGAACTGTACTCTTTAAGCAGAGAAATGTCGGCTCTGGATTTCACATTCCAGTTTTGCCCAGGAGCACCAAGAGGAGAGAAGGCAATGTTGCAACATTACAGGTGGAGAGAAGCGCAAGAGTCCTTGGCAGGTGTAGAAAAATGTAGGCGGCCATGATGAACACTGCTTTCCCCAAACTCCACTGCTTCGGGGCCAATTCTAACAGGTAGGAGTTGCCTGCCCACAGATGAAGCCTTGGGAAACTGCAGAAGGGCTAAGGCAAGTGGCTTAGTGGTTGGATGAAAGAACAGATTTCTGCACACAAGAAAATTGTAAGTTCACGTAGTTTTGTCTTTCCTCTCATCTGACATGTTTTCAGAGGCTGAAAAGATACCCACAGCCTCCATTTTCCAAAACCACCTCTCTTTTGAGGGAAGGTGGCGGGTTGGGGGTGGGGGGACTCCAGTGTGCAGAGCATCTGGCTGAAGGTGAGCGTTTCCCCAGGCTTCACACCGGAACAAAAGCATCTCACAGAGACACGGGAACAGATGGATCCTAACACCACAGCTTCTTGTATACAAATGGACTGCTGTCTCTCTCAACTGGGAAACCGATTGCTGTTCAAGAAATAGTGACATGCCCTACACATCGGCAATTTTCGCTTCAACATCAGAAAGATGCATTTTCTCAGGAAGAGATGGACATTTCCAGAGAGCAGGTGACCAAGGCCTTCACCTGTAGGCGCTACCTGCCCTAAAACTGTGGCCTGATGAGAAAACATTCCCCTTAACAAAGGAGGGCCTGGTGTTTGATGCCTTCAAGACTTTCTAACTCAGTCTCTCAGGAGAAAGATCTATATAAGCATCAGAACTTTGGGCCTTCTTGATGTCTGCCCATCAACATCCTTCAGCTCTAAGCAGCAAGACAGTCTCTACATACTGAATCTGAATGACGAAAAACACTCAGAGAGCACCTTGATGTGCCATCCACAGCTGGGTGTATGAAAGCAAGATCCCCTCATAGCCTAGAGTATGTTCTATGTACATTCATTTATACATATGTAAAAAGGCTGCAATCTGCTAGACATGCATTTGGAACACTGGTGAATGCTTTGCTGCAATGGAACACACTGCATTTTAGCGAGGGGGTGGCCTGTCCCCGGTCCACAGACAGCATGGTCCTCTGCCCCACGAACCGAGCCTACAGACAGCAAACCACCCTGCTTGGCTGGAGGTCGTGTTCGGACTTCTCTGTGCTGATGCTCAGAGGAAGCCGTTTATGAGACATGAAAACTCTCTGCCGGGCTAGGCCATCCACGGCTTCTTTTATAATTTAAGGCTTAAGAAAGCACTCACGATTAAAACGGAGAAGGAAAATGATACTTTTGACCACAATATGCGTCAAGATGTTCAGAAATTCGAATCCAAGTCCTATTCTCCTCTTTTCTCCCACACCCATTCACATCCTTTGTCCCCCGACACACTGATTAGAAACTTTTGTAAAAGCATACTTTTGGATATAAAGCTTTGTTTTCAAAGGAGACTTTGGTTCTGATATAATAAGATATAGGAATCTGGGTTTCTGAACTTGAAAAAAAAGCCAGGTAATTATTCATACTTTAAAAAGTTGTTTTAGCCATCTTTCTACCCCCAAGAGGGAGGCAAACTGCTCACAATGAGTATCAGATGGCACTGACCTCTGTTGCTCAAATCTATGCTTTGCTGGTGACCCCGAGCCTAGGGAGTCAAGGCGTCAGACTTTTTATTCCCAGAAATGGACTTCTGAGGAGGAATCACATGATCCTTGGCAGCTTTCTTGGTGGTTGTGAAGTAAGGATTAGTATTTCTGAAAACACGAGCCCCAAATCACTAAACAGCTCCATTAAAGTCAAAGCATTTATGGCCTGGGAGGATGACTGAAGTCCTACTTCCTAACTTCACCCCAAAGAGTAAAGCACAGACTGCTGTGCAAAGAGCTGCGTCTCCTGTGAGGGCCCCTGCATCAGTGTTTCTGGAACCTCCACAAATATAGCTTGGTACCTGCGACTGCCCTCAAATCCTCTTCTGATGAGAAACCTCCTTTTGGTGCTTCCGATTTCCTCCACACTCTAGAAGTCAAGTGGTGAGCCACAGGAGTGGCAGCTGTCTCGGTAACTGCAGGTATGAAGCAGATGCTAAAAGGCAGAGTTAGGTGCCCCCCGACCCCCCCCCAGCACTGAGTGTGGGCCTACTGTGCGCCAGGCAGGGGCCAGTGCAGGGGGACCACTGTCACACTGACCCAATCAACGACAAAGCCAGCAACAAAGAGGGGCACGCCTGTCCCCAGGAGACGCAGGTCTGCTCACGCTCCTCTGGCTGGCTGTACCCCACTGCTCCTCTAGGCCTACACCTCCCACAAGGCAGAGTGGTCGTACAAGGTGAGTACCAACATATCTTTTGTCCCACATTTCCAGGAGAATTGACTTAATGCGCTGTTGAATGCTGCCGTACGTCATTTTTAAATCTCTTAGTGCTTTTGATTTTTCAGTCTGGTAGTTGCCTTAAAAGAAAGTCTTTGTATACACATGCTGAACATGAGAATATAATTCTCCTGACCAAAAAGATTTACAGTATTCATCATTCAACTTTTTTATTTACAATAAAATGTGACAGTCTTTACGGGCTTCCACGCAGATTTCACCTGTGCGCTCAGCATCGCACTCCATCCCGCGGCGCAGCCGGTCGTCACTCGAGCTGCTTGCCGCCCTCCGCCTTCTGGTCCAGTCGGCTCTTGTTGCTCTTCACCATGTAGATGAAGTAGGCGAGCGTCTCTTTCTCATTCACGGGTATGTTCCTGAAGTGTCGGCTGACGGTCTATGCGGGGGGAAACACCAGAGTCTGTTAAAGCATCGCCTACATCAGGGCCACAAATCCTGCACCATGCAACAAGAGGAAGCAGGGGTTGGCGTCTAGAACTAGGAAGGGGTTTGGATCGCTGCAGGACTCAGACGCCCTTCTCCCCCAGGGAGCAGGGTGATTCGGTTTCCAGGCCTCTTAAAGCAGTACTTGAACCCACAACATTGCCAATGTGCAGTTCTGTTTCAGTGGCGACCAACTATCCATCACGGGACAATCTCAAGAGCATCCATAAGGAGGATGAGGCAGGGATGGCTCTGCTTGGCCAGCTGCTGCCATCACCAGCTCTCAGGCCCTGGTACCACCAGGCAGAAAAGTGTTTTGTTTTTAAAGCGTTATTTATTTGAGAGAGAGAGAGAGAGAGAGAGAGAACGAGCAAGCATGAGAGGAGAGAAGGTCAGACGGAGAAGCAGACTCCCCACAGAGCTGGGAGCCCGATGTGGGACTCAATCCATGGGCTCTAGAACCATGACCCGAGCTGAATGAAGGCAGATGCTTAACCCAGTGAGACACCCAGGTGCCCCAAAAAGTGTCTTTTTAAAACTGTGTCAAATGAATTGCCAATTGGATAGATATAAGTATTTGACCCAAGAATTCATCTAAGTAGTACACAGCTGCCTCTTGAAAGACGTATCACATTTGAAAAATAATTCATTTACCGCGCACTCCTGACACCTGGCTTTGTTTTACAAGTCCTGAGAATGCAGGTCTGCGCCTGCCCCGCCTCACCCACCATTTTCAGCAGGGCGAATGCTGGCAAACGGGTAACGTGACCTTACGGTAGGGAGGAGTTGTGCACTTCTATCTATCTTTTGTCTAGACGCTGTGGAAGGAAATTTAAGAGAGAATGATGTATCGGCAAGAAATCCCTAAAGGAAAGACCAAAAACCAAAGGGGCTGTCACCCTTTAAGGAAATTTCTGAATGGACTGAGGGGGCTGGGACAGATCAAGAGTCCGAGAACTAGCGCTACAGAGTGGTGACCTCTGGATGGAAGCACTATATTTCTCTTTTTTCCACTTTCCCCATTTTCAACAGTAGGCAGAAAAGCACATTTTAAAAAGAGGGTAAGAGTAACCTGCACAAATGCCACCAGGACAGCAGTATCAAGCCAGGCTGTCAGTATGTTCCAACAAGGGCCAAGAGAGCATTTCTCCCCTTGCCTAACTGTCTTAAGAGCTCAGGGTAGGAGAAAAATTTCTTGGGTTCTATTCATTATAATAAATCTTCCATTACCAACATCAGAGAAGAAGAAATCAAAGGAAAAACTGAAGAAGAAGAAGAACAGTTCCTACAGAACTGGAGCAATTGTTTTGGGGTGATTAGTCTGACACACCTGATGGGCAGGAAGGACCGTATTTATGCAGAATCTTACAAAACGAGATTCAAACAAATGCACCAACAAAAGCATGCTCAGGACTTATAATCAGGAGCCTCAAGAGTCCAGGCTCAATTCTGCTACTAATTTGCCATCTGATTTTAAGCAAGTCTTTTCCTCTCTTGGTGCCATGGTTTCTTTCATAGAAAGAGGACCTTTCCAGGGCCTAGATTCTAGGGGATTCTAGACTGTAGGAGAGAGGGAACAGGGCATTACTTGCAGAGCTACAGAGGGCATTAGGATCAACATGCACAGCAGCAGGCAGAACCAAGATCACCATCAGAAGCATAGTGGTGGCTCTCTCTTTTTGCAGTGCAATTTGTCTACCTACTTCTGCTAACTGGGCCTTATTGAAGCCTGGTCTGGTCTGTAATTTGTAGTGTCGTTTATAACGCCGTAGAGTGTTCACCTGCAGCTGGAACAGATCAACCTGGAGAGAAGAGGAGAAACATGTTATCCATCACCTGACTAGCCACGGCTCACCGAGAGCACACTATGTGCCCAGCACTACACTAGGATGGACGGGGTGGGGAAGAGGACTACAGAGACGTCTTAGAAATGGTCCACTGAGGACTATTAACTGGCTGGGAGGACAAAAAAAAAAAAAAAAAAAAATCAAAACCCAAACAAAACAGTGGAAAAGAGTTCTAGCTGGGGAGGGGTGGTCCCAGGAGGCTCACGGAAGCCACAAAGCTTAAGCTAAGGAGAACAGGGCTAGACTATGGAATGAGAGAAGACCATGAGCGCAGGAAGCCAGGAGATGAAGAGACAGAATCAGGTGTCATTGGCAATCACGATGGGTTTAAAAGGTGAGACTGAAGGGCAGCATGTCTTGAAAAAGCAGAAGGAGCGACACAGGTGGTGGGGGGGACGTTCAGGAAGATGGATCTAGTGGTGGTTTGTAGGGAAGACTGATGGGCGGGCAGGCGACGCTGCTGTAGCGGCGATCAGAAATGAGATGCTTAAGTTGAGCTTTGGAGGCTGCTAATACCGGAGGGGCACACCAAGCACTGGGAACAAAGGTAAACCCAGACAGGCATCCTGGAGGAAGATAGGCCTGAGCTTGGTAGCGGACCGTATGGTGGGGCGTGAGGAAGGACTGCAGGAGGTACTGCTGTTCCCGGAGTTCTTCCCTAGGCTCAGCCTTCAGGTGCTGGAACCCTGAACAACTCTCCAGAGAAAACTCGAAAGCTACTGTGGCCAATGTACAAATCAGCAGGTTAGGTTGGGGATCTCTGCAGATGACTGGATAACAGAGGGAAAGGACCCCCCCTTCTTTTTCTAACACAGGAAGAGAGGAAAGCTGCACAGTCATGAAGTATTGAAGGCCCAGACATTGGGCTGCTTTTACCTGCCTCTAAAAGAGATGTTCTTGCTTCAGGCAGGTGGAGGGCACTTAAAAACAAAATGAATGATCAATATGAGGGACCAAAGTCCTTCATTCTTTTCAAAACATTCCTCAAACCCCCTTTTTTTTTTTTTGTAAAAAGCAATGAAATTGAATACATCCATTTCTTTATGAAATAATACTACTAATGCTGAAGGCAATAGAAAAAGGCTGTAAACCAATACTAAGAAAGGAACACAGGGAGGGGTGGAGGGAAAGGACCCTATTTTCAGGTTTTCTCCACATCCGCAGACAAAGGCCCGCCTACTCTTTCTATTCCTACGCAGTCATTTCCACTCTGAGCGCTAACAGGCGGTTGCCTTGTGAAATATTCACGTGTCAAATATTCAATGTACATTACAAACGGGTTTTCTTCTGCTGAGTCTTAAGTGAAAACAACTTAGACAGAAAGAAAATCCAATACTCCTTCCTGTAGCCTTGCTCAAGAGGCACCAGCACCTTGAAAGTTCGAGAAGCCTAGGTCTCATCGTCCAGTGCAACGGTTCTTAGCAAAGAAGGGTTTTGCCCCCAGAGCACATCTCTAATGTCTGGAGGCGTTTTCTGGAAGGTCACTACTGTGGTGACTGGCATCTAATGGGTAGAATCCAGGAATGCTGCTAACGATGCACAGGACAGCCCCCACCTCAAAGACTCTGGCCCCAAATATCAACAGTGCCAGGGTTCAGAAACCCTGGGCCCTTATAACTAACTGACTTTGGAGTGGCTCCTGGGGAACCAGCCTGGACCAGGGACCAGAGCTGGTATGAACTGACAATGTACACCTTTCTTTTGCAGATCAGAAAACAGAGGGCCAGGAACTCCTCCCAATCCTTACAAAGCTCAGTCTCCAACTCTAAAGGCAAAAAAAAAAAAAGTTTTAAGAAACTTGACATTGTGGTTATATTCCAGAATGTATCAGGGGCTTCTTGCCCTGGTGCACAGGGCAGTGGCTGGAAGACCCCGAACTCTATGTGTGACCTCGGGTCTCCATGCCTGTCTGTAAGATGGGGCAGTGAGACTGACTGATTTCTAAGTTTTCAGCTCTCAGATTCAGTATTACCATGATTCTATGATTTGCTTTTCAAATAAACCACAGCAAACAAAGGGGACTAAAATTATTTACTCCAAAAAGCAGACCAGGCCAGAGATAAGGATCACATTAGAACCCACTTTTCCAGCTTTCTCAAGCAGATTTCTTTGACTTTTACCTCAGGAATGTCAGTGTCATGCTCAGGAGAATCTCCGCCATCGTCGCTTGTCTTCCTCTTCCTTTTATTTCGTACACTCTGGATGAAATTTTTGTGGAAGTCGCAGATATACAGGTGCCGTACCTGATGGGAAGCAAATTAAAGTGAGACTTGCCAGTTCCACGGGAACAGCAACAGGCAGCTCTCGGGCCACGGGGCTTCTCTCCTTTGCAAGGCATTGAAGAGACAGAAGGAAGAGCAACGTGAAGACCCTAATTTCCAGGAGTTTACTGTTGAGTTGTAGAACGAGAAGCCCACAAAGGGACACAAATACTACCATCATACGGGGCAATAGCTCATAGAAGTCCCCCCTGAAGGCCAGAGACAGTAGGTGGCCGGGGTTCACCAAAGGGAGAGACGCTTGTGGCTGGGATAGTCAGTGTTTTGGTCCCTGACTAAAGAGGATTTATGGGTAGACAGGAAAGATTCTGAACTGGAAGAGGAGTCAAGACTTAAGAAGAGTTTCAAATACAGACTGCAAGGAGATTCGGCGGTAGGGGACACGAGAACAGCTTAGACTTTCCTTCAGACAAGAGAGAGTCCCCCAAAGTTTTAGAAGTGGGGAGTGATGTGACCTATAGGAGATGCGAATTTACAGCAGGCTGGAAGGCAATGTCCCAGGAAGGAGGAAAGAAGGGACAGTGGTAACGGGGAGACCGGACTTCCCACTCTGACACTGACAATAGCTACTACTGTAGGAGGACCTCTCTCTGAAAAATGTTATTCCTGTGTATCCCAGTTATACTTCTCGCACCACCACACATATGTTCCACAAAGAGAAGTGGAAAGAGATGCAGAAACTCTCCTTCTCCCAGAAACCACATGAAAGAAGCTGGATGTTCCTACCTACCTTTTTTCCCCTCACTTTAAAGCATTCATAATTTGAGGATTTTTATTTTATGTACAATGAGATGGCATTAAGGTAGGTATCTTGGATGACCCATTCAAGGAAGTTCACTTAATCCAACTTAATGAAGCCTATATCCTCCGCATACTGACGGAAACACTGGCGGCACATACTGAGGCCGTATTTCCGGATCAGAACACGCCGGTCTGAGCAGACGTGGCAAGAACGAGAACCCTGGCCAGAGTTTCCTTGGATGGCTCCAGTAGAGCTGCTGGTGACCCATCTTGCTCTCTTGGACGCAATGAGGTGAAAGGAAAGAGCGAGCGCACGCATGCCTCCTGCCAACTTTCTAATGCAGGCTGGAGGCAAACAGTCAAGTGAAGGCGGCAACTGCAGCTGAGAGGTGAACGTGTTTTTATTTAAGAATGTAAGCACCAGGGGAGCCTGGGGGAGTCACTCTAAACCCTACCAGAAACGAAATGCCTGTGTAAATGCCTTGGGGTTGTTGACACTGGAACAGATGCTAAACAAATGTTCTTGAGAGACTTCTGAATTTGTATTTATTCCCTAAATTCTTTTTTTTTTTTTTTTTTTTTTTTGACAGAGATCACAAGTAGGCAGAGAGGCAGGCAGAGAGAGAGGAGGAAGCAGGCTCCCTGCGGGGCAGAGAGCCCGACGCGGGGCTCGATCCCAGGACCCTAGGATCATGACCTGAGCTGAAGGCAGAGGCTTTAACCCACTGAGCCACCCAGGCGCCCCTATTCCCTAAATTCTTAAGACAAAAGTAAGCTGATTGGAAGCCAGCATTGATTCAGACCTCTGCATGGAGAAAATAATGAAAACTGCGTTTTAGTCGGATGAATCAGCACCTTCATTGGGTTGGATTGGTGGGTCCAGGGCATTTTCTGGTTTACTCTGTGGCCTTGACCTGCAGACAGCAGGCACTCTCTAAGTGCACCAGCGCCAGCACGCGCCGTCCCTCCTGTCTGAGAGCAGCGTGGGCCAGCAAAAGCCACCATTTACATATGGTCACAAATTTGAGTAGTTTGGCTGGAGTCCACTCTGTCAAAGGACTTTTGGACACAGCCTGTGTCACTGTCCCAATGAACCTCTCCTAGTCAATGCACAGACCACTGGCCATGCTGTCACCAGGGAAGAAAGCATACTACTCCTCCCTGATGGGAAGCTGGCCCTCATACTGGCTAGTTCCATATGGAAACTCTGAGATAAAGTAGCTGCTCAACTTTGTAGAGGGACACACGTGGTAGGAGAACAGGTGATTTCCTGAAGCTGTGGCTGGGAGGTTTTAGGTCAGGACACTAGAATAATGGAATTCTGGATGGAAGAGAACTTAGCAATCACCACTATAACCCCACTGGCCCCAATCTCATTTTCTACAGAGATAAACGGAAGCCACACAGATGCTGTTATGATTTGGCCAAGGTCACCCAGGCCTTCTGACCCCTCGTGCATGTCCTTTCCTGCTCCAGCATTTTCTTTTCTTTCTTTTTTAAGAATTTATTTATTTATTTGACAGACAGAGATCACAAGTAGGCAGAGAAGCAGGTGGGGGTGGGGAGAGCAGGCTCCCCACTGAGTAGAAAGCCCATGTGGGGCTCGATCTCAGCACTCTGGGATCATGACCTGAGCCAAAGGCAGAGGCTTTCACCCACTGAGCCACCCAGGTGCCCCATACCCCAGCATTTTCTTTATACTCTTCTCAACTTCTACTTTTCTCCAGAATAAAGCAGAAAATGTCAATTGGAGGAATGTTTGAAAGCATGTTATGTATCAATAGCTCATAGAGCACAGCCAATGTCTACATGAACTGAGTGTAAGCTGCCTGAGTCGGATTTCCGGTGCTATTATTTTAAAAGGTTCTCTGCTAGGCCCTTTTACAAGATAAACAGTCATTATTTCTCCTTCACCCTTTTCAAATATGTACTGGTTTTCAGAAATTTCAGAGCTCAGTGGCCTTTGGGGGCTGGAGGTAGAGGAAGGAGGGTGGCAGCAAAGACTCCAGTGTTTTTCTTTTCTCTTTCACTTTCTGCAACAGCTAAAAATTCTCATAACATGGCAGTTTCTTAGATTGAATTCCTGCCCAAGCCTGTGAGAATGAAGTAGAATCACCTTCAGAAATAATGATTCTGCACCACCACCTAGAAACAAATTGTGAGTAATTCCACCTTGAAACACTACTCCTCCAGAGCGTCACTTTTGGGGAACTCCAGTGCCAGGCTCATGCTGCTTCTGTCGTAGGCAGTGTGTGTGAAACCACCAACATAGCTCAACACAGGTTTCCCGGCGGGGTCACTGGGTAAATGGAGCCCCAGTGGCAGCAGCACAATTGCTCAGATGTCATGGCATCCAAGGATTTAAAAGAGCTGGAAATTAATTTCTTTCTTTTTCTTTCTTTCTTTCTTTCCTTCCTTCCTTCCTTTCTTTCTTTCTTTCTTTCTTTCTTTCTTTCTTTCTTTCTTTTTCTTTTTTTTTTGAGGACTGGAAAACATTATAAGCTGCTCAGGCAAAGGCTCCCAACCACCTACACAATAGGTAGGCAGCGTTTCCAAGAGGATGAACTCACTGCTGTCTTAGAATTAGGCACTTCATTTCAATATGTGTCCTAATCTGGACCTCCTTAGTGTCTAGCCAGTTGTTTGCTCTCCCGTGAATTCCTTTCATTCATTCATTGACAGAGATTTGTAGTAAGAAAGCCATTAACTCACCCCCAGCCATTTTAAAAAACAGCATCTTCCAAGAGTGGCAAATGTACTGCAATTGTTAACATAATACAAATAAATTGCGGGTAGGAGGGAAGAGCCTGGAAGAAGAGGCGAAGATTTTTTATTTATTAAGACTTCATCAATCAAGGCTTATGGCATGGGGCTTGGAAGTAAGTCAGATAATGGATTTAAGAAATTAACCAGCCTCTTAGTCACTGTGTGAGGTTGGCACTGTCACTTCTTATCTCTGGGCCTCAGTTTCAACTGTAAGATCCGAAGCAGAAAAGTGCATGTCTTTTCAGTTTAACAAGCAATCTCTAATTTCCCCCAACAGTGGAATTTTGGTCCTAAAAGAGAATGGATGTTAACCACCTGAGCTTTTAGCTGGGCTACCTGAATATTAAATATCCCCTTAACTCATTTCCAATTCCTAATCACAAGGCAGCCACTTAAAGCTTGCAGCAACAGATGTCAAACTAAAAAGTTCTTAATTGGTTGACAATAGGCACATCTTTAGAATTGTTAACTAGAAGTGGTGAAATCACACAGGGAAAGTTTTCCTATAATTAGGTACCAAACACAGGGCGATTCTATTCAAATTCAAAGCCCTCTCCCCAATGCCTGTCTAAAGAAGCTACCCCTAAGAAAACGGATTTTCTTCCTCCCTGTCACTCGGACTGCAAAAAGCTTCCTCCCAAGACTTGGTCTTGGCCTTATTTCTGCCACATCCTTGAAAATTCCACCTCCCCACAGCTGCATTCGAAGCAGCGAGCTCGGTGACCCTCTGCAGAAGCCGAGGCCGAGGCAGCGGGGTGGGGCGGGGGGAGTGGGAAGTAACTGCCACCTTTCCTCTTCTGAAGGAATAACAGGGTTCCGAGGAGAGAGAAGTTGAAGAAGAGCCGGGTCCCTTCATCACCCCCACCCCAACACTTGCTCCTTCGTGGGCCAACAGAATTAACCCAAGTCTCTCGGCCCCGATATCTAAACCACTACAATAAGCCCTAAACTGCTGTTAAGTCTTCCCAGGCAGGAAAGGTCCTCGGAAGCCCCCCTTCCTCCGCCCCCCCAACTCCCCGGATTTGGGCAGAATCCCAGTCCGATCCCGTCTGCGCTGAAGCGGCCTTTGAAATCCCGAGTGCAACTCCCCAGTTTGCAGATAAAGGGCGGCGAGGCCCAGGGCGGAGAGGGCCAGGGCGGAGAGGGCCCTGGGGTCCGGCCCGCAGCCAGGAACAGGGGCCGGAGGGTGGCGGCGCGCGGGGACCCAGCCGGGGGGCCAGGGGCGGGGGCGGACTCACGCTCTTGTCGATGTCCAGCTTGAGTTTCTTCTGCGAGATGCTCTTCTGGACCCTCTTGCTAAAGGAGGCGTTGCCCGCGGGCCGGACGCAGCGCTCGCCGTCCTCGATGAGGCAGCAGCTCTGGCCGTAGCCCGGGGCGGCGGCGGGGGCGGCGGGGGGCCCTTCGCGGCTGTCCTCCTCGGTGCTAAAGCCGTTCATCTCCCCGCCCCGGGCCGGCCCCTCTGCGGGAGGATCCCCTGTAGGCCACTCTGCGGCCGCGCACCCCGCGGGGCAGGTCGCCGAGGCCCCCGCACCCAAGGGTCCCGGAGTCCGTCTCCAGACCAGGCGCTGCTCTGCCCCGCGCCCGGGAGGCCCGGCTCTGCTCCGCCGCGCTCCGGCTCCTTCGGCCCCCGGCCCCGCGCCTCCGGAAAGCCCCTTGCTCCCCGCTCGAGGCCCCGGGGTCGGATCCCGCGGCTCGCAGGGCCCCGCCGGGGGTCACCCGGAGGCGCCTTCTGCCGGGGGCCCAGAACCGTTACCCTTCGGCGGGGGCGTCCGGGAGGGCGTCCCAGGAAGCAGCCGGTCCCCGGGGACTCTGGACCCGGCTTGCCAGGGGGTTTCGAGGGCCCCCGCCGGCTCCCGCCTTCTTTCGGCTGCGGGGCAAACTCGCCGCCGGGCAGCTCCCCCGGGGTGGCGCGGCCTCCCCGCGCGGGGCCCGGCCTCGAACCCGCGGCGCCCGGGCCCCGGGGCGCGTCTGGCTCGCCCCAGCCCTGCAGCCGCTCGGCTGCGCCCCGAGTCCCGCGGCAGCCCCTGGGCCGCCCGGCCGCCGCCCGCCCAACGCTCGGCACCACAACAGTTCGCTCCCCCGCCCTCCGCGGGACAGCGGAAGTCCCGCCTCAGCGCGACCATTGGCTGCGTTTGCTCTCTGGGCGGGGCCTCGGCCGCCGCTGGCATGCTCCATTGGGCACCTCCGCCGCCAGTCCTCGGCGCCTGGCTACTTCCTGGACTCTGCTGGGATGGGTTCAAAGTAGAGAAAGTGGAAGAGGGAAGAGTTACCCGGTGCGGGCGGGGAATGGGTCCGCACACTGTTCAGGCCGGGGGAGGGATGAGGAGCGGGGGTCTGGGTGGACAGAGGGCCAAACTCCGGGAACAGAGGAGCACATTCGGGGGCGTACAGAAGTGCAGACGTGGGCGGGGGTGCCGAGGGACAAACATAGGGAGGGGTATTTGAGGGGGGACCTTACGGGGATAGAGGTTCTGCCATGAGAAGGACAGACAGGGTAAAACCGAAGAACCAGGCTTCAGAGGACCCGCAGACCGGTGGGACGTAGGGTGGATGAAATAAGACAGAAAGCCAGACATGGCGGGAAAGACAGGGACAACCCGGTACAGATACGTGGAAAGACATGCAAAGGAGATGATGAGGGACTGATGGCGGGTATTGCAAGGTAGTCGGATGCTTGAGGGCGGCGGAGACTTCAGACTGTAGAGACTGGTACTGGCTTCGTGCGCGCGGAAAGAGGAGGAGAGGGAGGAAGAAAACCCCTAGGGGCCTTGGTTAACCCCTCGGCTGGGAAGAATCGGAAATCATTATAAGGGCTAGAGGGCGGACTCGGTGAACCGCGGGGAAGAGGAGGGGTTGCGGAGCACGCGGAGAAAAGGTTGGGGGTGGGGAGGATCAAGGGCCAATCTCCGCATAGGGAAGGGCTTGCGGTGTGCTGAGTCCCTCCCTGGAGCTCTGTAAGCCGTAGCTTCTATTTCAGCCTCCTGGTCTGCCTGCAAGGTGACCGTGCCCTACCAACACTCTGAGCTTGGGGTTCGGCGCCAGGGCATCACACACACTTAAAAAGGCCTTGGGGAAATCTAGTCTAGCACCCCATTAGGCCATCGCTGAGTGACAAATGAGGGCCTGTGGCCGGTCGTAGGGACTAGACCAGGGTCATGCTGTCATGCAATCATTTAGGGATGGGTAGCATTGACGGGGGTGGGGGGGGGGGGGGAGGGGGGAAGGGGGGAGAGGGGGTACGGAGGGGCGAATGTTAGGTGTGTTGGTGTACCTATTTTGGTAGTACTAGCTGGCTTGGCGTTGAAGAGGCTTCTGGTTTGCGTCCTGATGAAAGAGGGAAGCCACCAGTTTCCATGTTCAGAAGCAGATGCCCTGTGATCTTAAATTTTCTTCAATGACTTTAACCGTATTTGTATGCTCTAGCCTAGTAATTTCACATGTGGGATAGCCATTTTAGGAAATTGGCCTACCAGAGAAAAAATAAAACGATGATGTCCGTTGTAGGATTATAACAGGAAAATTGAAAAAGAACCTCAAGTTCCACAAGAGAAGTGGTTAAGTAAACTAACATCTTCAGAATGAGATATTTTGTGATGTTTTCCACATTTAAGGTAGTTTCAACATCAATGTAAATTTTTTCTATATATAATAATTCATCATTAACTCTTCAACAAAGAATTGATGAGTTGGAGAAGTGCTCTATTCATGTTAAGTTAAAAATGCAGGATATAAAATTGCATATGGGATATGATGTGTGTACATCTAAGTTAAAAAAAAAAAGGGAAAAAGCAAAGCAACTATTTGTGCATCAAATGTACACCAAAGTACTAATAGTAATTACTTGTGGGTAGCGGAAATATGGCTGATATTTTTCTCCTTTTGGTCTACTTTGCATTTTCCCCAACAAGCATTTATTGCTTTTGTAGTAGGAAGAATAGAGTGAAAAGTAATGTAAAAAAAGGCACGGTTTAATAAAATCCCTCACTCAGAGTTCATACATTCGGAAGTAAATTATCCAGCATATTATGTACACTCATTTCAGGGTTGGCCACAGGAGAAGGATAGAACATAATCGCTACCCTAAAAGAGAGTATCTTCTAGTAGGGGAGCTCAGATACATATACAAAAAACAGCTGGGTATCCGTACGAGTCAGCATGTGATGTTGGTTCCAAAGTTGACCCGTATGGGTGAGTGCTCTACAATTCCCACATATATTTCACCCTTACATTTTTTTTTTCAATACCCCACTTGCATCCAGCGCCAGGCTGCTACAATACACACAGCTTCCTCAGCACTAGCTTCCCCTGGCATTGCCCCTAGAGCAGGGGAGGACGACAGACAGGTGACTTTTCCTTGGGTGCTCTTTTCAGCCCTAGGGGTATTGGCTGCTCCTTATCTGTTATTTCTGTATTCTGTAGAGTTCTCTTTACTCTCTTTTACTACAGTACCCTGTTATAATTAATAACCACATTAATTTTCCTCCTTTCAAATTGCAGTGTGGTTTCTCTCTCCTAATTGGACCCAGGCTGATAACCCCAACCTCTGTGTAATTTTTTGAGCAGGGGGTGGGCATATGCTTTTAACTACCCCTATATACAATCCTAGAGGCTTCCTTCCAGGAATATTTTATCGTAAGTTCTCCCCCATGTTATTATGTAGTTTAGTTCCAAATAGCAATATTTGGAAAAAATTCTGATTCCTTTGCTAGGGGAGTAAATCCGTAACTCCAGAAAGGAAATATAAATATTCAGATAATGAAGAAATGAATAGAGAGAAGCTTCTGTGATTCTTGGTCTGCTTTGTCTAGGATTTGAGATTGTTGAAACGGCCAAGAGAATCTGCTTTGCTACATTTATAAATTTAGGTAATTAATTTACGACAGTTGCTTAAGTGCTTAGAAAGATCTTGCTTTTTAGATTTTCAAGTTGGCCCTGTTGGGCATTTAGAGTGTTTGAGAAAATTAGGCATATTAAATTTGTAATTGTAGTCTGAAATGTCTAAGGAAATTTGATTAATTAAAGCTGTAAGTCTTTGAAATGTTTAAGGAGGACTGAATGTACTAAAACTTCAGAATTAATTCAACAGTAATCAAAGAACAAGTAAAAGTGATCTTATCTTTATACAAAAATCACTAGATTTATAATGGAATAACAAGATTTGTCAATTGAACATAAGGCCTTTGACAAAAGCTAGGTTTTATAATGGGCAACTTGAGTCTGTAGCTGTAAGATTCTTTTCCATGCCCAAATCTACCTCCAGATATTTAAAATCACAGCTGTATAAACCCAACCTTATAGTTCTAGCTGAGGCCTCTCTTCTGAGCTGCAGAAAGCAACATCCAGTTCTTTGCTAAGACGCTCCAGAGGCATTGCAGACCCAGATGTTCAAGTTAGAAACTTTTCTGTTCCCTGAATCTTCTTAACTATGCAGCCTGTACCCCTTGATTCTCCCTTCCTTTCACCCCACTCAAAGCCCACCCATCATCGAAGCACATTCTTCTCCTTCCAAAAGGTATTTAGAAACTGTCCCCTTTGCTTCATACCCTATGGCCAGCAGCACTAGTGGAGGCCACCATCATCTTGTGCCTACAATGCATCACTGGCCTCTGAGCTGGTCCCTAAACCACTCTCTTCTGACAGAGCCTCCATACAAACCAGCCTTGCTGCACACTTCTTAAGGCCCTGTGCCAGCTTTCCAGTGCACTCTGACAGTTCCAGCTGCTATCTCTTGGCTCTGTTGCCCTGCCCCAGCTCTGTTATTCTGCCCCAAGTTCCTCAAATAAGCTGAACCCCACCCTACCCCAAGGTCTTTGCATTTGCATTTAGCTCTACCTGGAATGTGGTTCTGCTTGCTCCACCTGACCCACAGCTGGCTCCAGCTTTCAAGTCTTAGTGTATTTTTTTTTTTTTTTTTTTTTTTTAGAGAGAGGGAGAGAGATGGTGGAGGGGCAGAGGTGGAGAGGGAGAGAGAGAGAGAGAGAGAGAGGAGAGGGAATCTTAAGGAGGCTTAGTGCAGAGCCTGATGTGGGGCTCGATCTCACAACCCTGAGATCCTGACTGGAGCTAAAATCAAGAGTCAGATGCTTCACTGATGTACCCATTAAAGTGCCCCCTTCAAGTCTTAATTTAAATGTCACCTCTGCAGAGAGCCTTCCCTGATTAAAAGGAATTCCCTCCCCCATTGCCCATTGCTATTCTCCTTTCAGTGTCTTTTCTTATTAGCACTCACCACAATGTGCAATTGTCCCCATTTCGAATATTAAAACTCCATGAAGGCAAGGACCGGGTTTGTCCTGTTTGTTGTAGCTCCAGGGCACATGACACTAATTCTCCAGTTCTGGTGGCTAATAAGAATGGGACTCAGCAAGCATTTTTCAATGAATCACTTTATTTTTTCAAAAAAGATTTGTTTATTTATTTGACAGAGAGCGAGCACAAGCAGGGTGAGCGGCAGAGGGAGAGGGAGAAACAGACTCCCTGCAGAGCAGGGAGGGAGCCCAATGACCTGAGCCGAATGCAGACGCTCAACCCACTGAGCCACGCAGGCGCCCCTCAACAAATTACTTTAAATATATCCAACTATACCAAAAAATTTATTAAGTAACAAAAAAGATACAAAGCAGTATGCAGAGTATAAATTCCATTTGTTTTTCTGAAAAGGTTTATACACAAATACATATTTTATGGAAACACAAGAAACTAGTCATTGTGGCTGCCTCCACAGTGGGAACTGTAGGACAAGGGAAGAAAGGTAAGAAGAACTTAATTTTTATAACCTCTTTTCCTATTGCATATTTTACAATGTGCCTATATTTCTTTTGCAATAATAAAAAACCATCCTTTGGTATTATTTAGTAAGAAATATGGAATACCAAAGAAATTGGAAGAATCTCAGATAAAGGATAGTCATTTAATTTTAATTTTAATTAATTTATTTTTATTTATTTTTTTAAAAAGATTTTATTTATTTATTTGACAGAGAGAGACACAGCTAGAGAGGCAACACAAGCAGGGAGAGTGGAAGAGGGAGAAGCAGGCTTCCCGCCCGAGCAGGAAGCCAGATGCGAGGCTCCATCCCAGGACTCTGGAATCATGACCTGAGCCTAAGGCAGACCCTTAATGACTGAGCCACCCAGGTGCCCCTGTTTTTATTTTATTTTTTTAAAGATTTTTATTTATTTATTTATTTATTTATTTATTTTTAGATTTTATTTATTTGTCAGAGAGAGAGGGAGAGAGAGCGAGCACAGGCAGACAGATTTTTATTTATTTGACGGAGGTCACAAGTAGGCAGAGAGGCAGGCAGAGAGAGAGGAGGAAGCAGGCTCCCCGCAGAGCGGAGAGCCCAATGCTGGGCTGGATCCCACGACCCTGGGATCATGACCTGAGCCGAAGGCAGAGGCTTTAACCCACTGAGCCACCCAGGCGCCTCCCCCCTTTTTATTTTTTTAAAAAGATTTTATTTATTTACTTGAGAGAATGAGAGAGAGAGAGAGAGAAAGAGAGAGAGAGCATGAGCGGGGTGAAAGGGGACAGAGGGAGAAGCAGACTCCTCACTGAGCAGGGAACCTGACTCGGGGCTGGATCCCAGGACCTGAGCCATAGGCAGCCACGTAACCTACTGAGCCACCCAGGGGCCCCAAGTGCAGTCCTTTAAATGGAATAGATTTAGCTTTATGAAAAACCCACAATATTGTCCTTATTTCCTCATCTTGCTGAGGACCTGTGAAAGCTTCCCCTGACTCTGGCACTTGACAGGCATCGGCCATGGGCCAATGGTAGCCACTGACGTTGTGGGCAAGAGTAAAGACCCTGGTTTGAACTCTGGCTCTGCCACTTCACTAGCTGTAGGACCGCTGACAGCTCACATGAAGCCTATGAGTCTCCATTTTCTTCATCTGTAAAATGGTGTGATAATAGTACTTCTCTGATGGGGCGATTGTGAGCATCTAATGTGTTATTGTAAAGCACTTGGCACAGTGTTGTCTCGTACCCAGTAAATGTTCATCCATTACACGCTGATGCCCCTAAACTTCCCCTTATACCCAAGCTGAGATTTCTGCAGGTTAGGGAAGGAGACATCATCTTGCCGGATGGCAAGGCTGTGCTCAGTTTTCACTCAGGCAGTCACCATATCCATCAGCGCAGCAACAATTGGGAGACTACTTGATTATTTTATTGTATCTTAACCTCATCTTAAAAAATTTTGTAAGAGGAGGGACGCCTGGGTGGCTCAGTGGTTAAAGCCTCTGCCTTCAGCTCAGATCATGATCTCAGGGTCCTGGGATCGAGTCCCACATCGGGCTCTCTGCTCAGCAGGGAGCCTGCCTCCTCCTCCTCTCTCTCTCTGCCTGTCTCTCTGCCTACTGATCTCTCTCTATCAAAATAAAAAAATAAATAAAATTAAAAAAACAATTTTTATAAGAGGAAAAATCAAGTACCAATAGTAGTGATAAGAAGTGTGTGTATATCAAGAGAGTGAACAGGGGCGCCTGGGTGGCTCAGTCAATTAAATGTCTGCCTTCAGCTCAGGTCATGATCCCAGGATCCTGGGATGGAGCCCCGTGTCAGGCTCTCCGTTGAACCTGCTTCTTCTTCCCCTGCTCTCCCTGCTTGTGCTTTCTGTGTCAAATAAATAAATAAAAAATCTTTTAAAAAAAAGTGAAGAGACAACCAACAGAATGGGAGAAACTATTTGCAAGTCATACATACAATAAGGTACTTATATGAATATATAATGAACTCCTATAATTCAACAATAAAAAAGACAAGGCAATTAAAAAGTGGGTAAAGGTTTTTTTTTTTTTTTAAAGATTTTATTTATTTATTTGACAGACATAGAGAGACACAACTGAGACCACTCCGGCACCCGTTTATTTATTTTTAAGCACCAGCGTCCATTAAAGCATTTTATTTGCATGCATATATTACATTTGGGGCTCTATCTCACAACCCTGAGATGACGACCTGAACGAAGAAAATCAAGAGACGCTCAACCAACTGAGCCATCCAGATGCCCCAAGCATCTTTTTTTTTTTTTTTAAAGTAAGCTCTAGGCCCATTGTGGGACTTGAACTCATGATCCTGAGATCAGGAGTCACGTGCTCCACTGGCTGAGTCAGCCAGGCAACCCCTTATGCATGTTTTTTGATTAGTGAAGAAAAATAATCAAATTGGGGATATAGTAGGAAAAGCAGGAAATATATCATCAAAGATTGTATTAAAAAATACAGGTGTAATTGCAACTGATATATTCTTTTTATTCCGTAGGAATAAATGTGAACTGTTGACAAAATAAAGCCATTGTTTGACTCTTTACTTTGGACATTAGTCCCATTTTCAGAAACCAATTATGTATGGAAGTGGGGGTGTATGTGCCTTCAGGGGAAAGCAGAAGATCCCTTTCTGATTCTCCTTCCTTTAACGCTAGATCACCAAACAAACTTCTCCTAACAAAATTACTCCTAAGGAGTAATTCAGCTGATTCTAGGAGGTTGCACATAAATATTGATAAATTAATGACCTACATTAAATAATTTGTCTTTAAACCGAAATACACATAAAACAAGGTTATGCGGTTCTTGTTGTGGGCCGAGGCTCACGGGAGCCCACCTCTGTACTTGCCTTAGGGGTGTGGTTCAATATTTGCGAATTCAGTGTTTGCAGTGATGAGATAGAACACTGTTCTATCTTTGTTCACAGTGAACAAAGGGAATGAGTTGTGTATCAGGAGAAGTGCCATGAAGGAGGCTACACAGTTGCTCAGCATGACGAGAATGATGTGTGAGGAGGTATATTCTTGACAGGGTGGGCTGGAAGTTTCTTGGGAGAGGGGAAAGCTAAGATAGGACTCAAAGTATGGAAAGAAGCTGCCAGGTGGATAAGTATATCCTAAGTGGTGGGACCAGCAGGGGTCTGGAGGTGACAAAAGACTTGGCCTGCGGGGTCTGGAGTCCTGCTGAAGAGGTGGTGGAGAAGCAGACAAGGGCTGCTCTGGAAGGACTGTTAGGACCTAGCTAAAAAGTTTTCATTTTCTCCTAGAGGCCTAGGGTAAAGTTACAAGCAGTGCAGCAGTAATCAGGTGTCGCTGGGCCCTTGTTTGTTTCCACCACTAGGCTGAGGAGGTCACTGATTGTCCCTTATTCACCTCTGTATTTCCAGGGCTGAGGACAGAGCTGGGGCCAACTACTGTGGCACAGAGCGTGGACCACTGCGGGCCCACAGTGTGTATTTCAGTTTGCTTTTGTCGTCTGAAGGACCAAGCCTGGGGATTCTGCAGCTGTAGCTGTCAAGAAACTGTCCCAGGGACTTTCCTCACAATGTGGACAACCCCAGGATTCAGGCCTCGGCTTCCCAGGCTGAGAGGCCAATGGTGGGTGAGCTTAGCGCTCAGCTCCAGCAAAGGCAGACCCGTCATCCCCTTCCTCCCATCCTTAGGCAGGAGCTGGCAGGAGATCAGATGCTACTTCAGTTCCAAGGGGCTCATGAACAAAAGCTACCAAGTTGCTTAGAAACCTGCTTTTCTGAGGGTTCACCAGGTTTTCCTTTGTTTCTATGGCATTGTGTGTGTGAGTGTGCATGACCACGCTGAGGGCCATCACCCCGCCAGGTCTGCAGCAAGTGGGACCGGAACGTGAGAACGGTGGGATGCCCTGGGACACTGTCGCAGTCCCCAGGTATCGCCAAGCCAGGCAGCCCAGGCGTTTGAGGGGCAACAAAGGGGAGCCAGCTGCCTGCGGCCAGAGGTGTACGGAGCTGTGAGCAGCTGCAGGAAGGAAGCTTTGGATACTGAATCCTGCGCTCGCTCGCTTCAGCAACAGCCCAGAAGCCCTAGCATGGGAGATACCAACAACAGAACCGAGAGGGGACACCACTCTCATCCCGTCGTTGAGCTTGGAAAATAAATTCTTGAGATCAGGGTCACTGCAAAACACCAGATGTAAGATTTGTAGGACTACAGCAGTCCTAGCTGACCATGATCAGCTACTGATCTTCTTCCCACTGTCATGTGGGAAATCTGAGGCCTGGGGAGGGGAAGGGACTTTCTCAAGAACACATAGCGTATCACAGAGGTAGGAGCACTCTTTCTCAGAAGGTCTGTGGGCTGTGAGTGGAGGGAAAATAGCCCAAAGTATAAGCTGGCACTATATTATTCACCCATTTGTCCCTTCTTCAATTACTTATTGAGCCCTTACTCAGTGCCGGGAGCCCCAATAAGGAGCTAAAATGGATGAGAAATTTAATTTCCCCGTCTTCCCACCTGCTCCAGTGAGGAAGGGCCTTTCCTCCCAGTAATCAGTAATTTTGAGATTCCGGCTGCCCTGGATTTTCATGCCTACTATGCAGCCAGCACCTTGAGTCATTCCTGGCTATACATGGTCAGCCAACGGCACATCTGATGCTCTCACCCTGCCCGGTTAAAACCCTCTAAGAGTTCCCACTGCTTTAAAAATAAAGCTCAGAGACTCCTTAACATGGTCCACAAGGCCCTGCAGGGTGTGACTTCTGCCCTCCCCGCCTCCTTCTTTTCTCTTCTCTCCTACCCTGCTCCTGCCTCACTGACATGCTCCTCCCCCCCCTCAGGGTCTTTGCACATGCTGCCCGTACACATGGAATGTTCTTTCCTCTCTCTCTTCTTCTTGTAAAGGAATTTAATCTTTTTTTTTTAAATTTTTTTAAGATTTTATTTATTTACTTGACAGAGATCACAAGTAGGCAGAGAGGCAGGCAGAGAGAGGAGGAAGCAGACTCCCTGCCGAGCAAAGAGCCTGATGAGGGACTCGATTCCAGGACTCTGAGATCATGACCTGAGCCGAAGGCGGAGGCTTAACCCACTGAGCCACCCAGGCGCCCCAAGGAATTTAATCTTTATAAAAAGAAGCCATTACAATTTTAGAAGAAAATTAACTTAATATGGACCTTCTGGTTCCAGTGCTCAAAACCTGCCCCTCAAAACCTTCCCCGCTCCTGTTCATCAGCCTTCTCCAGGCCGTGGGTGGGTCCACAGCGCCCTCTGGTGGGCTCTGAGTGACAGCACCAGCAGGCAACTTCCGCCCTTGGTCATAGCAGTCCCACACCAAGTTTCAACCACAGAACCACAGTTGGAGCTGGAAGCATCATCCAAAACCTTCCCAGTTTATGGCAGAACACTGAGGCCTAGATAGGGGGCAGGATTTGCCCAAGACCTTAGAGTCCGTTGCAGAGCCAGGCCAGCCAGTGCTCTTTCTACCACGTGGCATTACATATATCTAATATGCAAAGTGTCACCATGTTTTGGTAGGTAAAAATTTGTGGCTGATAGGTGAGCATCAGAAATGAACTATTTCATGTTGTTCTGTCCATCCGAAATCTTCAAGTCCTGGCTGTCGTCTGTAGAACCCTGTGTGGGCTACCCACCTAACCTGGGAAGCTCACCTCCTTCTGTGCCTTCAACATGGGAACTCCTTTCTGCCTCAGGGCCTTTGTACTAGCTGTTCCCTTTGCCTGGAGCCCTCTCCCCCGAGCTGCATCTTGGATCCCACTCCCTCCTGTGTTCCAGCTCTCACAGAGAGGGACTCTCTCACCAGCCAACCTAATGTTGATCCCCGCTCCAGTCTCTCAAACATCTTGTCTCTTATCCTTCAACACCCTGTTCACATTTAGAATCATCTTCGTTAGTTGTCAGGGGGTCTGCCTTCTTCTCTAGAACGATGGCTGTTGGGAACTTGTTCATTATCCTGGGTACTGAGCAGACATTCACTGAACATGTGGGAAACGATGGGGTAGAAGATGGTGTGTGACAAGAACAAGGCAGATAGCATGTTACAGAAAGTCTGGAGGTTTATTCAACAACAGTCACAATCACAATTGTACGCGGTAAGTCAGTTCTTCACAAAGGCTCACTTTTCCGGCAGAAGAGGGGTTGGTGGCCTTGAGCTTTCTGTATGGAATACCCAGTCGGCCATCTCAATATTCCCTGTCTGTAGTCCCTTTGGGATCCCAGTCTTCAAGCCCAAAACAGAGCAGGAGCCCAACCCTGTTATCTGACAAGGCAGAATCAAAACCATGTGACCAGCAGGTGTTAGGGGGGCCTTGCCCCTGGGGATGTAGGTAAAACTCCCACCCCAGAGGTGGCAGTGGGCCTTGGCTCAAGATCAAATTTGGACTGAAATAGGACTTGGATTTTCACAAAGAGAAAGTAGAAAACAATTCCAGAGTAGGACTGCACGCTTTGCCCCTCTTCCACACTTAAAAATCTCCAGAAAACATTAAAAGTTCACAGCTTCCCAGGAATTAGAAAAGATCCCCCAACCTGTACAAGCTAAGATCACTGAAGCAAGAAATCCAGGTTTCTCAGTCACTACCATAAAGTGCTTTGCCACGCTTTTGAGACTCCAGAGACAGAAAAATGAAGATGCACGGAAAGAAACATGGAGTCATTTTGAAAGATATTATCTCTTTCTTCAGGAGAAAAAGAAATTCACCAGGTAGGTTTGCAAAGTGAAGACAATGGGGACTTTGGGGACCTGTCTGCCGCACCTACAGCAAGAAGTGCTCCTTCTCCCCTAGGCCTGTGGGAGGACCCCCCTCCGGCCTCCGAACTAGTTCTTCCTCAGGGGGTGGATGCCTAGTTCCTAGATGGCTTTCGAAGTCGAAACCTTCAGGCGGAGGCACGTCCTGTGCCTGCACACTTGGCCCCCTCCCAAGGCCTTGTATCTCCAGCAAAGATGCTCTCTGCATTGCAAAATGCTTCTGGAGGCCTCCTGTGGAAAGGCTGCTGGTGGGCCCCCTGGTCAAGATACTCTCCAGCCACACTGTTTTGTGACCTCCTGCTCAGAATAGAGAGAGGAAAAGGGGCCCCCATCCTCACCCATTACCCAGATGACAGCACCTCCGCGGACTCCTGGCTGCTTTCCGGAGCGACAGCTGGCAGTGCGAGCAGGAACCGGAATCTTTGAGGTTTTCAAAATTGAGGCCAAAATGAGGGGTCAGTATTTAGTATTCTGTCCATTGGTTGGCTAAGCCATGAATGTCTCTCTTTCCCTCCCCTATTACTCTGTCAAGTCCCAGGACCTCCGCATAAGACCCGTTCCCCTGACCTGTTCCCCTCAACAAGGGAGGGGGCCAAACCAGACTTGAAAGAGAACCAAAGGATGGCAAAGAGGAAGGCTGTGGCCTGCTGGCTGCTGCTCCTGCTGTCCAAGCAGTCCTGGTCTTGCCAGGGACAGTCACCCCCTTGGAATGGGACCACCTGGGAATCTAGCGAGTGCTCGGCACTCTGTCTGGGGGCTGGGATGGGGACTTCAGGCATGGCCTCTGAACAGGGGTCTCTCTCCGGGGCTGCTGAGGCCCTTCCAGGCTACAGACTAAAGGAGTTGTTCTACTGCCCTTTTAATTTGTAGTGTTCCTGGCACAAACAGGAACAACTCTGGCGTCTGGCCCTTGAGGGCTTCTTCGTCTCAGATCCTGCCTGCTCTGGGCCCAACGTCTCCTACTTGAAATTAGAAGTTCTGAAACACACACTCATCCAACAGAAAATACACACGCCACCACCAGTATTTCCCCTCCCCCCAACCCTGCCCCTGCAGGTTTGTCTAGCAAGGCACTAGGGAATTTTTCAAGTTTAGGGATTTGCTGTACATTTGCATTTTGTCTTCTTTTTAAAAGGCACAGTTTTTATTTTAATGATGCTGCATTGCTTTCTGAGGATGACCCTTAATTCAGCTCTCCGAACTGCAACACTCCTGTTCTCCTAGGTCCTGGAAGGGGCCTCCTTTTCGGACTCCTTCCTATGGAGGGCCACTTCGAAAGATAGAGGACTCATCTGGAAAAGACACGAGGGATCAACAAGGAAGCTTCTGCAAGCACAGGGGCCACCTCTCCTGTCGGCAGGTGGCCAGCGCAGGGCTTGTGTGGGGGGCAGAAGTGGAGGAAGTGGTGCTCTGCCAGCTCTTTGCATAATCGGGCGTGGTGGTGTTTGGGAGTTTATCCCTCCCCCCATCCCCCAGACAAAAATGGCCTTGAGATCAGCCAGCATCTCAAAGGCAGATTTGTGGCTCCGTTCCCAGATATATGTCTCATTTCATTGGTAAATGCCACATTCGAGAGATCCAACTCTAATTGGAATACGGACTTCAAGTATTTCCCGGACTAGCTGGTGGAAGCCATAGGTTGTGGAATGTGATTTCCATTTCTGAATCAGTGGGGGGCAGGCTGGTTGCAGAAATGATTCCTGTTAGTTTGGGAGCCCTCTGGGAGTCTGACACATAATTAACAAAGCAAAAGGTAAACACGAGGGACTGGCATGGACATAGGTGTCCATTTGCTCATGGGACACCAGGCGCTTTACGCCACCGCAGCTGGGAGGGTGGTGGAGGGTCACAGGGCTTCGGGACCGCGCTGAGGACCGTGTCATACCAAGGTCTCTGGTATGAGCTGACAGACACAGGTCACCCACCCCCCCCAACACCACCAACCTCAGATTTCAGAGATTGTCTGTAGGCAGGGGGGGCTGCCTTGACTGTACTACACTTGGCTGGCTCTTTCCAGTCACAGCATTCCTGAAGTGCATGCTGGATGCTAGGATACCAGAATCCTGGGTAGCATTCTAGGTTGGGATCTAATAATAGAGTTCTTGAAAAATTCTAGAGCTCTATATGAGAACTAGAGCCGCGATGAGGTCAGAGGCTGGGCACCTTGCCCATGGTCTGCCCTGGAGCCTCCAGATGTTGTGAGGGGAGCACCTCACATGTCTGCTCCTCTCTTGAGGCACATGACTGCCCAAGACAGAAAGAGGAAGACGGAAGCACTGATCAGGGAAATTCTGCCAGCCTATCTAGTTTGGAGGTCTTCTCACTAGGCCCTTTCCACCGGCCCACGGCCATGTGACACAGCTCTGAAAAGCTGGTGGCTGAGCTGTCCTGTGCCTGCCGGGCACTCATGTGGACATTTCAAGCGCCCAGAGAGCAAGGAGAGAGAGCCCATGTGTCCGCGGTGGCAAAGGAATGTCTGGGGGTCCCACTTCTGCCCCCAGGCCTGGCAGTCGGCCAGTGCTCAGTACTGAACACCGTGACAGTCCAGGTGAGGCCTTCGGATTGCATCACTTGGGGCTGTGATGAAGCCCTTAACTGCAGTGCCCGTGACAGGCAAGATACTGAATGTCTGGCACCGGCGGCCCCCAGAAAAACCTCCTCCCTCCCTTCCTGGGGCAGATGAGGGCACTGGTGCTACAAGCTGCCCAGACAGGCAGAAGCTGCCCCTTTTCTGGAGGACCATCCCGGATAAGCCATGCGAAGGCCAGGCAACCTTGTGGGACCCACTGTGGGGTGGCCTAGGGCTGCCCTGGCATTCCTCCCACATAAAGCTCAAGGGCCAGAGGTAACAAAGCCAAAAAGGCCCTCCGGGATTTCCATGATGCCATCCGGGGTTAAAGCAGGCACTGCTCTCTGTGGGGGCTCCTGTGGGGTCTGTTTTCCACCCCACCTCCACCCCTGGGCTTTAGGGACCAGGCGGACACCTTGCACCAGCTTTCAGAGCCCTCTGTGCCCTGGACCGGCTGGCCAGCACCTCTCACATCACGGTGCCCACGGAAGCCCTGCCTCCCTTGGGAGGGGAAGGCTGCGGCGGGGCCAGGGACGACTCCACCAGGCCTGCTGAGGAGACGTGAGGGCTCAGTTCCTGTTGAATTTTTCCAAGACTGTCGAGTTGGTGTGTTCAAACAGCCACTGCTGGGTGAGAGAAGAGGGGTTACAGGTGTTCATGAAGATCCGGCGGTCACTTTCACTGCAGTCCATGCAACTGCCGCTGGCAGGGTGGTACAGGGTCTTGTCCTAGCAAAGAGGGAGGCAATCAGCCAGGCAGCGCTGGGGACACCGAGCGGCCACAGCAGCCGTACCACAACGCAGACTCGAGCCCTGGCGCTGGCCTACAAATCGCCCACCTGGCAGGCTCGCCTGCCCCGCCCTCCCGTGCCTGGCCTGGGCCTGCTGCCTGAGCCCCGCCGGGAGGGATGCAGGTGGAAGTGAAGTGGCCCACTTTTGGCCTGGCCCTAAGTCTGCTTGTCTCTGGCCCAATTTCACTGGTTTTCATGGTGTCTTTGGTTTGTGTGTGTTTTTAAGTGGACTCGGTTGCCAACATTTAAGATCCTAAAGATTCCACATAAAAATCTGGATTTCTGGCTTCTCTCGAATGACTGAGAAGTCGGGCCTGGAGGGTTTGTGGCACAAATATGTGAGGGAGTGGGCTCTGTGGGGGGAAGGATGGAGGCATGGAGTGTTTATCTGCTCGTCTTTTTTTAAATCAAGCCGGTTGCCCTGTTCCGCCCCCACAGACTGCCTTACTTTGCGGTACTTCCACAGCTGGTTGCCCTTCATGCTGTGGCAGTCATAGAGGGTGACTGGGCTGGTGTTGGAGATGGCATCAAAGCAGAACTTCTTGGTGTGCTGAGGGTCTCCGGGCCGGATATCCTCTCTCCAGGTAAAGGTGAACACCTGTATATACAGGGCCATCATCACAGGGACAGCAAAACCAGGGGACTTTCTCTTTTTTGGAGTGATGGAAAACGTTAAACACAGAGATCCAGAAAACAGTATTGACCATGCCTGTTCCAATCACCCAGCTTCAACAGTTACCACTCAGGGCGGATCTTGCTACAGCTTTACCCGCTCTATGACCCCCCGCCCCCACACTGTTCTGAAGCAAATAACAGACCTCACATCATGTCCGGTGTAAAGATTTTACCAAAGTGCCATTATGGAAATAAAAAGTTACCAGAGTCCTCAATGTCATCAAGTAGCTAGAGGTCAAGTGCTCTTGCCTTGTAAGTTTCTTTTCACAGTTTGAATCAGGATCCAAACCAGGTTCACATATTGCATTTGGCTGAGAAGCACTTTCCGCCCCCAGCAGCTTTACTGAGGACTAGCAGGCATACTATAGATTGCACACACGGGAAGTGCACAATTTGATAAATCTGACTTGTTTACAGCTGTGAAACCACCACCATCATCAAGGTCATGAATTATCCATCACTCCTGAAGTATCCTCACTTCCTCTGTGGTCTCTTTCTCCTGTCCCTCCTCATTCCCCATACCTCTGGGCAACCACTCCTCTGTTTTCCATCAATAAAGATAAGTTTACAAGTTCTAGAATTTTAAATAAAAGGAATCCTAGGGTATATATATATTTTTAGATTAATATATAAGGTATTATTTGTTTCGGGGTACAGGTCTGTGATACATCAGTCTTACACAATTCATAGCATTCACCATAGCACATACCCTCCCCGGTGTCCACCACACAGCCACCCCGTCCCTCCTACCCCCCCTCCATTACAGCAACCCTCAGTTTGCTTCCTGAGATTAAAAGTCTCTTATGGTTTGTCTCCCTCTCTGGTTTTGTCTTGTTGGATTTTTCCTTCCCTTACCCTATGATCCTCTGTCTTGTTTCTCAAATTCCTCACGTCAGTGAGATCATATTATAAGTGTCTTTCTCTGATTGACTTCTTTCGCTTAGCATAATACCCTCCAGTTCCATCCACATTGCTGCAAAAGGCAAGATTTCAATTTTTGATGGCTGTATAATATTCAATTGTATATATATATACCACATTGTCTTTATCCATTCATCTGTTGATGGACATCTAGGCTCCTTCCATAGTTTGGCTATTGTGGACATTGCTGCTATAAACATTTGGGTGCATGTGTCCCTTCGGATCACTACATGTGCATCTTCAGGGTACATACCCAGTAGTGTGATTGCTGGGTTGTAGGGTAACTCCATTTTCAGCTTTTTGAGGAACCTCCATACTGTTTTCCAGAGAGGCTGCATCAGCTTGCATTCTCACCAACAGTATAGGAGTGTTCCCCTTTCTTCACACCCTCACCAACATCTGTTGTTTCCTGACTTGTTAATTTTAGCTGTTCTGACTGGTGTGAAGTGATATCTCATTGTGGTTTTGATTTGTATTTCCCTGATGCTGAGTGATGTGGAGCACTTTTTCGTGTGTCTGTTGGCCATCTGGATGTCTTCTTTGCAGAAATGTCTGTTCATCTCCTCTGCCCATTTCTTGATTGGATTATTATTTGTTCTTTGGGTGTTGAGTTTGATAAATTCTTCATAGATTTTGGATACTAGCCCTTTATCTGATATGTCATTTGCAAATATCTTCTCCCATTCTGTCAGTTGTATTTTGGTTTTGTTGACTGTTTCTTTTGCTGTACAAAAGCTTTTGATCTTGATGAAGTCCCAATAGTTCATTTTTGCCCTTGCTTTCCCTTGACTTTGGCAATGTTTCTAGGAAGAAGTTGCTGCAGCCGAGGTCGAAGAGGTTGCTGCCTGTGTTCTTCTCAAGGATTTTGATGGATTCCTTTCTCACATTTAGGTCTTTCATCTATTTTGAGTCTATTTTTGTGTGTGGTGTAAGGAAATGGTCCAGTTTTGTTCTTCTGCAAGTGGCTGTCCAATTTTCCCAACAAAACATTTGTTGAAGAGACTGTTTTTTCCATTGGACATTCTTTCCTGCTTTGTTGAAGAGGAGTTGACCATAGAGTTGAGGGTCCATTTCTGGGCTCTCTATTCTGTTCCACTGATCTATGTGTCTGTTTTTGTGCCAATACCATACTGTCTTGACTACAGCTTTATAATATAGAGCTTGGAGTCCAGAATTGTGATGCCACCATCTTTGGTTTTCAACATTCCTCTGGCTATTCAGGTTCTTTTCTGGTTCCGTACAAATTTTAGGATTATTTGTTCCATTTCTTTGAAAAAGGTTAATGGTATTTTGATAGGGATTGCATTAAATGTGTACATTGCTCTAGGTAGCATAGACATTTTCACAATATTTGTTCTTCCAATCCATAAGCATTGAATGCTTTTCCATTTCTTTGTGTCTTCCTCAATTTCTTTCATGAGTACTTTATAGTTTTCTGAGTACAGATTCTTGGCCTCTTTGGTTACATTTATTCCTAGGTATCTTACGGTTTTGGGTGCAATTATAAATGGGATAGACTCCTTAATTCTCTGTCTTCTGTCTTGTTGTAGGTATATAGAAAATGCAACTGATTTCTGTGCATTGACTTTATATCCCGACACTTTACTGAATTCCTATATGAGTTCTAGCAGTTTTGGGTGGATTCTTTTGGGTTTTCCACATAAAGTATATCATCTGCAAAGGGTGAGAGTTTGACTTATTCTTTGCCGATTTGGATGCCTTTCTTTTTGTTGTCTGATCCCCAAGACTAGGACTTCTATTATTATGTTGAATAGCAGTGGTGATAGTGGACATCCTTGCTGTGTTCCTGACCTTAGGGGAAAAGCTCTGTTTTTATCCATTGAGAATGATATTTGCTGTGGGTTTTTCATAGATGGCTTTGATGATATTGAGGTATCCCTACACTGGGAAGAGTTTTGATCAAGAAAGGATGCTGTACTTTGTCAAATGCTTTTTCAGCATCTACTGAGAGTATCTTATGGATCCTGTTCTTTCTTTTATTAATGTATTGTATCACATTAGTTGATTTGTGGATGTTAAACTGACCTTGCAGCCCAGGACTACAGTATCTATTTTTTGGTCTGATTTCTTCCACTCAACATCATTTTGTTATGACAGCATTTATGAATGGTCTGTTCCTTGCCATTGCTAAGTAGTATTTCACTGCAACACACACCTTTTACCTGTTAGACATCTAGGTGGCTCTCAGTTTTTGGTTATTACAAATAAAGCGGCTATGAACATTTGTATACAAGTCACTGTATAGACATATACCTTCTTTTCCCTTGGACAAATACCTCAGAGCAGTGTGGCTGGATCTTAAAATAGATGAATGTTTAACTAAGAAACTGCCAAATTGTTTTCCAAAGTGTTTGTACCATTTACATTCCAAGCAGTAGTGTATTCTTCCGGTTCCCCTACATTCTTGCCAACCCTTGGTATGGTCAGTCTTCTGAATTTTAATTTCCATTTTTCCAATGGAGTTAAGCATTTTTAATGTGTTTATTTGCCACTAATATACATTCTTTGCTAAAGTGTCTGTACAAATCTTTTACCTATTTTTCAATTGGATTGTTTTCTTATTGAGTTTTGAGAATTTTATGTATTTTGGGTCCCAGTCTTTTATCAGACACATGTTTTGTAAACATCTCCACCCAGTCTGTGCCTTGCCTATTTTCTCAACAGTGTCTTTTAAAGAACAGAAGTTCTTTGTTTTTATTTTATTTTATTTTTTTAAAGATTTTATTTATTTGACAGAGGGAAAGAGAGATCACAAGTAGGCAGAGAGGCAGGCAGAGAGAAAGTGGGAAGCAGGCTCCTTGCTGAGCAGAGAGCCCGATGTGGGGCTCGATCCCAGGACCCTGGGATCATGACCTGAGCCAAAGGCAGAGGCTTAACCACTGAGCCACCCAGGCACCCCTTGTTTTGTTTTTAAAGAAGTCCAATTTATCAGTGTTTCTCTTTTATGGATTGTGCTTTGGTGTTTTATCTAAGACAAAACTTTTTTATCCAAGGTCAAAACTTGTGAGTGCTTTAGCCAAGGTCACAAACACTTTTGTCTACATTTTCTTCTAAAAGGTTTTAAGTCAATGCACCATTGTGAGTTAATTTTTCTCATATAAGGTATGTGTTGAAGAATTTTGGGGGGCCTATGAATATCTACTTGTTCCAGCCCCATTTGTTGAAAAGACTATCTTTTCTCCACCGAACTGCCTTTAAACACTGGCAAAAATTGATTGTCCACGTACATGTGGGTCTATTTTTGGTCTCTTGATTCTGTTCTATTGATTTTTCTTTATGCCAATACTGCACTTTCTTGATTACTGACAGTTATATATCTTGAAATTAGGCAGTGTGCGTCTTTAACTTTGGGCTTTTTTTTTGCAAGTTGTTTTGGCTATGTAGGTCCTGTCCATTTCCATGGGAATTTTACAATTAGCTTTTCACTTCCCGTGAGAAAAGCCTGCTAAGATGTTAGGATTGTGATGAATTTACATAATGGTCTGGAAAGAACTCATGTCCAACCTCTGGACATGGCACGGATCTCCACTTACTTAGGACTTCTCTCATTTCTACCAAAAATGTTTTGTAGTTTTCAGTGTACAGGTCTTTTGTCAGTGACAGACCTGAGGATTTCATATATTTTTTTGTTCTAATAAGTGCTTGTTTTTAATTTTAATTTCTGATTCTTCATTATTCATATATACAGTAAGTTGACTTTTGTATCTTACAACTTTGATAAGTTCATTTACTAGTTCTGGTAGTTTCTCTGTAGATTCAATTGAATTTTCCACAAAGATGATCAGAGTCTGCAAATAATCATTGTTTTCCTTCTTTGCCCACCTGTAGGACTTTCCTTTTTCTAGCCACAGGGTAGAACCTTTAGTACAGTTCAAACAGAAATGGTAAGGTTGGAATCCCTTTCTTGTTCCTGATCTTAGGGGTAAAAAGCATTCAGATTTTCACCATTAAGTATGGTGTTAGCTGCAGGCTTTTTATAGACAATCTTGATTAAGTTGAGGGAGTTTCCTTTATTTCTGGTTTGCTGAGAGTTTTTATCTGGAATGAATGTTGGATTTTGTCAAATGTTTTTTCTGGGTAAAGGCGTAAAGGTGATTATATAGTTTTTCTTTTTTTTTTTCTTTAAGGATTTTATTTATTTACAGAGATCAAAAGTAGGCAGAGAGGCAGGAAGAGAGAGAGGAGAAAGCAGGCTCCCCGCTGAGCAGAAAGCCTGATGCGGGGCTCGATCCCAGGACCCCAAGATCATGACCTGAGCTGAAGCTAGAGGCTTAACCCACTGAGTCACCCAGGTGTCCCTGGTTTTTCTTTTTTACTTAACACGGTGAATCTATTGATTACTTACCTTTTTCTTTTCTTTTTTAAGATTTTACTCATTTACTTGTCATAGAGAGGGATCAAAAGCAGGGAGGGTGGCAAAGGGAGAAGCAGGCTCCCTCCAGAGCAAGGAGTCCAATGTAGGACTCGATCCGAGGGTCCTGGGATCATGACCTGAGCCCAACTGAGCCACCAAGGCGTCCCGATTTTCTAAAATCGGGATTTTTTTCTAATTTTCTAATTAAGCCCACCATGCATTCCAGGGATAAGTTACACTTAGTCATAGTGGATTATCCTTTCTATATACTGCTGGATAGGATTTTCAAAAATTTTGCTTAGAATTTTTGCATCTATGTGCACGAGGGATACTGATCTGCAATTTTCTTAACATGTCTTAGTCTGGTTATTGCTATTTAGGTAACGCTGGCCTCACCAAATAAGTTGGGAAGTATTCCTTCCTTTTCTGGAAAAATTTCTGTGGAATTGGTAACATATCTTCTTTAAGTGTTTTGTAGAAATCACCAGTGAATCCATGTGGGCCTGGATTTTTCTTTGAGGGACGGTTTTCTTTGAGGGACGGTTTTCAATTGCAATGTCAGTCTCTCGAATAGAATCCTGTTGTTTTCCAGCGGGGCTGGGGAGAGCGCTCATCATCTCTGGCCCTGTGTGAGCACTGGGCATGGCGCCCTCAGTACTCCAGCAAATGTCCAAGGGGAACTTGGTAAATCCCACAAGTTCCCTCTGTGTCTGGTGCTCTCCTCACCCAGGAAGGACTGGGACAGCCGTAGGGCTTATCTGCTTGCTATCCCTTGAGGATAACTGTCCTCCACTGGCTGATGTCTGCTCTCTTGAAAACAGTTTTCCACATATTCTGTCTGTTTTTCAGTCGTTTCTGGTAGGAGGGTAAGTCCAGTCCCTATTGCTCCACTCCACCCTGGCCAGCAGCGGACACAATGGTGGCAAAAGAGTGGTACTGGCAGCTCCTGACTCCTGATGTTTTGTCTCCCGGACCCCCTGTAACTTAGGGGCTGCATTTTAGATTCACGATTCTCCCTTCACAGGCTCACTACAGCTCTTCACTCAGGGTGGTTGAGAGCCCTGGGGGATACAGATCCCACTGGGGCAACCGGGCCACCATGCTTCGCATTTCAGAGTGGGTAGGCGGGCACAGCCACACCCCCAGGCGCCATTTTGTTGCTCTTTGCGGGAACCCCTCAGGCGTTTATGTGGACTCTGCCACACAGTGAGGCTCTTCTAGGCTGAGCAACTTGGGCACATTCTATCTAGGCTCTGGCTGTTCCTGGTCTCTTTTAGGGTCCTAGGGTGGGGTGGGTGTGGGGAGCAGTCACATGCTGCCTTGGCGAACTCAGGAGAATCCGTGAAGGGGAGACACTTCTAATAAGAATTGTTGTCAAGAAAGGAGGAGGGAGAGCAACAAGGACTTCCGAGGGAGGAGCAGACACTGTCAGGCTGGGCACTGTGCCCATCTGAGAGGCAGTGCTGTTTCTTCTCAGCACGCACGCCATGCACTCCACCTGAGCTCTGTTTTAGCAGAGGACCCACAATATAGGCTTCTATCCATGCGCTCTTCCAAAATGCCAGAAAACATAGGAAGGAGACTATAAGAATGTACCTTTGAACCAAGATTCAGTGGATGTGGTGTGATGTGGGGTTAGTTGCTTGGAGGAGGGAACCACGGAAAGCTAAATGCAGTTTCTTGAAAGTGGTGTCTTTTCCTGCACTGCTGGCTTGCCCTCTTCATTCTTCTGATAACACCCCCTGGGCATGATCGCCTGGGGAAGCCACCCTCTTCACTGTCCTCCCACCCTTCCGGTGAGGCTGACCGCACCCCGGGCTCCAGGAGCGGTTATGTGACCTGGGCCTAATCAATAAAAGGACTCATCACATCCCTATTGTAACTGGCTCAGGAAAGCCAATACGTGAGTGCCCCAGGGCTTTTCCAGGACTCTGGAAAGGGACATGCCTTTTCATGGAGGGACTGGAAGCCTTTGCTGCTGGCGGTCCCATCTGTCACCACCTGGGAAGAGCCAGGTGAAGGATAAAGCCCAGGGAGAGGAGGCAGAGTTGAGACCCTGGAAGGGTCTCCCTGAACATCATTTAAGCTTTTCAGTGATATGAGCCAGTATGTTCTCCTTTCTGTTGAAGGCGATGTGGGCTGAGAGTCTATGTGCAACTAACCAGATTGGCGATTTTATTGCACTGGGAAGGATTCTTCTTTCCAAGGTGTTCAGGAAGCTCTTATAACTCATCCCCTGGGCTGACTTTTGTCTGTCATCATTGAGCCGTCGGCTCTCCCCTGAGGCCCTGATCACATGAGCATTCCAGGCCACATACAGCACAGGGGAGCTGGCTGCTGGGCCCCGAGGAGTGGCCGTTACCTGCATGTTGTTCCAGGCAGCCTCCCCGCGGCCCCGGACACAGCTCTCCAGCCTCAGTGGGGAACCCAGGGCCCCGTGCTTCGTGTCAGCACACAGTCCTGTGCCCACATTGTGGATCTGATAGAGACAGAAAGAGGGGACCAGTGAGCACCTTGAGATAAACTTCTGGGACCATGCTGGGGTGGGACGAGGGAACCCAACAGACACACCAGATGGGGAAAGCTCTGCACAGTTTTAAAAAAGCCTGGCCTGGGCAGGGGAAGTGCCCTGTGCCTCTCAGTAACAGAATACTCAGCCCACAGAGAGGAACTCCTCTAGGCCTTTGTCCTAGAGCATGCAGTCGCAGGGTGGTGGGCTGGGGTGGGGGCCTAAAGGTGTGGGGGTGGTATTCAAAGGACTTCCTGGCTCCGCTCCCAGAGAATTTGATCCACTAAGTCCAGGAACTGAATTTGATTCCTGTTCCGGGAGATCCAGGGACCATGCCTTGAAAACCACTCTAGAAAAGGACATGACACCTTTGCTGTGGGGTCTCAGACTCTCTGTCTTTTAGAGCAGGTAAATGACAAAAGGTTCTCCTTCCCGAGAACACCAGAAGATGCAGTGAGCCACGTGTGGTGTGTGCCCAGAGGAGCCCCAGGCTAGGAGTAGAAGGCTGAGCAGCTCCCAGTTAGGAGCCAGGAGTGGCCTTGCTAGCGGACGGCCACTGTGCAGGTGCTGCATCCTGGAGTTCATGGCCCACAGAAGCACTCCGTTTTGACGGAGGGTTTGGAGGTGTGGTGGCCGTGAAAATGTGCCACTCAGTTATCCTGTTGCAGGGAGTCTGACTGCCCAGCGGCCGTGGTCGGAATCCATGTGTCTGAGTGGAGCCATGCTCCCCGTGGGCTGCTTCCAACCAGCATCGGAGGGGACAGGGGTATCTCAGCAGGCGTGTTTCTGGCGGACACCAGACTCCTCTGATCCGGCTCAGTTACTTGGCTCAAGCTTCTTCAGAGCATCCTTGCAAAGTGCGACTCCTCCTACCCCAGCCCTTCTTCCTCCCCGCTACCCCTCCCAGAGGGCGGACCAGCCCCACAGTCAATCTCCCAGCCTCTCCTGGCTCCCTTCTCATTTCTTCTCTCAGGTGTTGCCCCAACAAGTCTTTTGGTGTCTGTTTCTCAGAGGACTGACCTAATACAAGGGAGAAAGCCCAGAAACTGGCAAAGAAATGAAGAGCTTCATGAGGGAAGTCCCCATGACACGTCCCCTAGAATACCTGTGCAGGGGTTGGGTAGGGCTGGCCAGACGGCTTAGTCAGGAAAGGTCATGAACAAGTCATTTCTGCTGGCCCAAATGCATCTGCCCTGTCAGAGTATCTGTCCTATCCCTGGTTGTCCCCTTCCTCCAGTGGCCACAGGGATCACTGCAGACCAAAGTAAGAACTTAGCTGGCTTCACTGGGAAGGAGCCATATACTTTTTGCTGAATGGCCGAGGCTTGTCAGCTTTGAGCTTCTGGAAACCATCTTGCTACCCTCAGTGTGAAGCTGACACAAAAGGAAACAGAGGTAAATAGGAGAAAAAGAAACTGACATCATTTGAGCCCCTGGATCCAGGTGTGTCTGAAGCCATAGCTACCCAAAGTTTCTAAAAGAATTAATAAATTTCTCTTTTCACTTTAAATTGGACTTCCATCACCTACAATTGAAGGAGACCAAACTCTTATTATGCTCCTTGTCCCCAAGCCTTAATATATCCATCTATCAGGGAGCGGATCCTCTCAGTTCAGAGACCCAAGAGCCAGAATCTGGTGATGGAGTGCTTCTCCCCGTAGAAGACAGCATACCTTCCCCAGCAGGACTGGCTTCATCAGTGTGTGACATGGGCAACAGCCCAGGGCCCCTCAGTCAGAACGGCCTGCCCTTGGTTTAAAATTTGGCTATCATTGTCTTAATTTTTTTTTAAGATTTATTTATTTGTTTTAGAGGTGGGGAGGGGCAGAGAGAGAGAGAGAGAGAGCGCGAGTGAGTGCCTCAAGCAGACTCTGCAGTGAGCACAAAGCCCAACTCAGGGCTCCATCTCACAACCCCAAGATCACCACCTGAGCCGAAACCAAGAGTCAGGCACTCAACTGACTGAGCCACCCAGGCATCCCACTGTTGTCTTAAGATTTTTAGTACTTGATCTTTGAATCTGTGAGTGAGATCTGAGAGTATAATGGAGCCTGCATGTGAGCAGAGGTGCTGACACGTTACACGAGCATCCGATGTGCCTTCCTTCTGTGTTTGCATACAGCATCTGTGATGTCCCCCCAAGCACAGAATCTCAGAAGTCCCGCTCGCACAGCAGTTCGGCAAGACTCAAGTTACGGCTATGACTAAGTGGGGTGCTGGCAGGTCTGAAGGTCACACTTCCTTTCCAACCAGAAGTAGACTGCACAAAGGAGGGCCACAGCATTCTGGGCTGAGGAGCTCTATTGTATCCTCTTACTTGTGTGATTGCCCTGGAACCAGCCACCACTTCCCTCACCAGCAGCAGATAACGGCACAGAAGGGAGAAAAGGACAGCCCACAGTTTGCTTTCCTTCCACCCTTCCTCACTCATCAGCAAGCTGCGGGGAGAGCATCTTGGTAGAAAGCACGCATTATCAAGAAGTGAAATAAGATCGGCTGAGTCCGTTTTGTGCAGGGTTTGCACTGTTCTGGCAAGAAATACATATGCACGTACAAAGGCTGAAATACAGATAGTGAAATTTCACCCATCTGGCCTGTGAGTTAAATGCTCTTCTATTTGCATTTAAAACTGGCTCTGCAGAGTGGGAAGATGAGTGGTAAAATTTCTGCTAATAATTTAAGATTTTAATTTTTCCCTACTTAGAGCATTAAGTAGCAAATGAACCCCCCCCCCCACCACAAGGCTAGAGAGAATCGGGAGAGCTCTACCTTCTTGCACTGGGCCCCACTAATGCACCCGGCCCGGGCCCCTCCGGACTCACCTCCCCCCAAGCCGCGGCCGGGGGCTCCACGGGTGGGTAGAATTTGGGCAGGTCCCAGGCGATCTTGGTCATAAACCACTTGAAACTCTTGCAGTTAAGGGAGCTGCGCAGCTTCTTCTGGGCAGCGACATCCCCTGCCGAGAGGTGGCGGTACTCGGGCCGGCGCTGGTAAATGTGCTCCGCGTACTCATCCATCCACACTTCCGCCACTCGCTTCAGGTTCTGGAGGGCGACAGGCGGGCGGAAGGGTCAGGCCCTCTGAGGGGCTGAGGCTGGGGGGGGGCTGGGAGGCCTTGTGGACCACATGGTCTCAACTCTGAGGTGGCTATAAAGGAGCCGGGCATAGTACATAAATGAAGGGGGGTGGCTGTATGCCAATTAAACTTTATGGACATTGACATTTGATTTTCACATATCCCGAAATATTCTTCTTTCATATTTTCACCTTATTTGAAAGTGTAAAAATCATTCTTAGCTCATGGGCCACACAAAAACAGTTTGCTGACTCCTGAGCAACGAGGAAGGAAGCCAGCAAGAGGGGGGCCCCATGGCAAAGGCAAAATTTCACCAACTCCTCCGTTTTGCTGACTCTCGAGTTTGGGACTAGGAAGCCATGAAATCACCTCGCCAATGCCGCATTCTTTCTTAGTGCTGAAGAGACTGACAGTGGGTTAGAAACCCTTAACGAACAGTTATACCTGCTAGGCCCCCACATGGCCAAGGCTGGGTTTAATTTAAAACTGAGCACGATGCCTGGGTGGCTCAGTGGGTTAAGCCTCTGCCTTTGGCTCTAGTCATGATGCCAGGGTCCTGGGATTGAGCCCCACATCGGGCTCTCTGCTCGGAGGGGAGCCTGCTTCCCCCCGCCCCCTCTGCCTGCCTCTCTGCCTACTTGTGATCGCTGTCAAATAAATAAATAAACAAATCTTTAAAACAAAACAAAGCAAACAAACAACTGAGGCCTGAGGAAGCTGAAAAAGCTGGCACACCTGAAGACTCTCCTTTTCCAGTCTGCCTGCCCAGCTCCTTGGGCACACTCATCTGCTCATGCCACAGGGAGGATGAGGAACTGCTACAGATTTCTCTCCAACCACAGGCTGAAGTGGCTAATCTGACCAAGGAGAGGTGCCCAGATACACCACTGCAATTATAAAAGGATCAAATCTCATATTTTCATTTTAATTGCTCTTTAGATTACTATTTTAATGAATACTGTACTTTCTAGACCTGCCTCTCCCAGATCTTGAACTTTTATCCAGTTGACTGGACCAAAGTAAAGGACTCGGCACTGACTTCTGTTACTTCTCCCCTTGCTGAGTCACACGGAGGACTCTGGGATTTTAGGAGGCCGCGTGCTCCTCTCATCCTTCCCCCTGACACCTCCCTGGTTCTGGGTCCCAGTCCTGTTTGAAGCCCCTCTGCTCTTCTTGTGTTTGCATTACAGATTGCCCAGTCCTTGGAATAAGAAGCTTTTCTTTTTTTTTTTTTTTTTTGCAAGTTTGAGTGGGTTTCTGTTACAGCCTTCCCTAAGATCCCTTTCCCAGGGGCAGAGACAAGAAGGATTTTTGGTAAATTTAGTAAACAAACTAAGGCTGGCTACTTGTTCTTGAGGCAGGTGAGCTGCTGGTTAGCTCATCCTTCTTAAATTGCCACTTCACTGCTCTCTAGCTGTTTGTCCTTCTGGAATCTGACAACTTTAGGCAGGAAGAGATGCCTCTTCCTTTAGGCGGTTTCTCTCTTTATGGGGCTCTTTTAGGACTTTTAGATGACCTCCCCTCAAATCTATCAAAATGATCTAGGAGATAATGCTCTAGACAGATTTGGCTGTTAAAACAAGAAACAAACGTTTACAATACGATCTGCAACTCAATGAGGGTAGTTAGACGCAGTGATAAAAATTCAGGGGAGTTTGATTCAGGCATTTTGTGGTCCTGTAAACCGAGGTGGGGTGCCCCCTCTGATTGTTAACCGGTTTAAAGTCACCAGGAGACTGATGTGATCCAGTCGAAAAAGAAGTTAAAATGTTTAAACACAGAATTCAGAGAAGACATTGAAATAAACTTCCCAGTCTCGTTAACAGATGGAGACATTAACACTAACAACAGCAGCCACTGTTTAAGGGACGATTGCTCTGTGCCAGGCACCGGTCAGGCCTAAGTGGGTTTGAATTCTAGTTAGTTAAAGTCTCCACATTTCACTCTCCTCATCTCTCAAACAGGGATTAAAAGCACATGAGAATTAAGTTCTATAAATATGTAAGAAGCTTTGCATGATGTCTAGCTCACAGGAAGTTTTTATGCGCTACTATAGTTAGCTATTACCCACTGAATTCATCTATGGTTCAATAAACAGGAGATCGTGGTGCCTTTTAACCAGGTGGATCTTATAAATGACCAGGTAAGAAGAAAAAGCTGCTTCGGAAATGAGCCTGCTCAGGCTCAGAGATGTCCCGGCTGTCCCACTATTCCCAGTAGCTGCGAGTCGCGCACGCGCGCTCTTGGGCTTACTGAGTGACTTTGCACTGGTTTCCTGTCTGGCATCTTTCTCTGGGCTTGCCAGGGATCTCAGAGGAAACGTGATTCCTACCTTCTCGCTGAATCTAGAACCGGCCCGCCCCCGTGGGCTGTGCCCGATGGGCTCTGCAAAGTGCCGAGGCCCGGTGCGGCTCTCGTCGGAATCTTCTACCACTAGAGGGCACTGCTGGCTCTCTTTTTCTTCAACGCGGGTGCCAAACCAGACCCTGCCGCCTCCGCAGCTCAGCTCCCACCGGCGGATGGAGTCTGGGGGGTCCCGCTGCCGGATGGAGCCGCCCAGTCTTCCGCGTAACTCGCAGAACCGGGGCTCTTCCTGACCTGGCCTACAGTTTTGCATCGCATCGACTGTCAGGTGACACGGGACGGGGAGGTGGCAGCTGGGCCCAAGGAGGCTGTTGGGACTGATGCCAAACAGGCTCCCGCGGCAGGGGGGGCTCTCTGTCGGGAGGGGTCTCCACCAGGCACAGCTGTGCCGGTTACCTGGTTACCTTTCCAGCTTCCCACAAGCCTCTCTGCGGCCCTCTTTACCTTCTGGGGCCCTCCCCCACCCCATTTTTCTTTTGTGGTCACCTCCCCCCACCAAGACACTTAATATTTTAAAATGTTAAGGTATAGGGGAAGATCATTAATACAAAACAAAACAAAACAAAAAAAAACAAAAAACAAAACCACCCCCCCCAAACAAGCCTCTGGCTAACACAGTTCTATGTGTAGCCAGTGGCCTATTGAATTCTAGCAATGATTAATACAAACCATTTTAAGGTAATGAAATAGTTTGACACACAAGTTTTGGCAGCGAAAGTGGGGGAGGGGGCGGGGAGAAGAGAGAGACACTGACATTTATTCGTCACCCTCCTGCCGTGAACTTTTTTTAAGTGCCTTGCCTCAGGCTTTCCCCAACACACCAACACACCACCCCACCTGTATTAATATTTATCTAACAGGTTTCTTTAAATCACTCCTGGCCTAACTTTGCACCTACTTCAGCTTTATCCTAAGTAATCATATCTGAAAAAAATCACAAGTTTGCTACATGAATATATATTAATGTCTAATGCACATTAATTTAAACAACTGTAAATAAAAATGTTCCTATGTCTGGCACCTAAAATCATCTTGTCTGTCACAGTTGGGGAAACTGTGCCATCTCCTTAATTCTCTGGCAACGCTGAGAGTTGTGAAAAATTAGCTTCCTTTGAACAAAAGAGGAAACAGGCTCGGAGGAGTTAAGCAACCCTCTCAAGGTCACAGCAAAGGAGTGGTTAAGCAGGGCTTTAATAAATTATTTTAAATTGGGTTTCACCTACAGAGTTGGGGGCGGGGGAAGCATGCACAACCTCACACCCGAGTCACTTGGCTTGGAGTCCCAGGTGTCTCAGGAGGTTTCTTCTGTGCTGATGCACCCATCCCCCACCCCCTCGAAGGAAGTCACCTCCTTACCCGGGCCAGGCTGACTCCAGCCGGAACCTTGTAGGGGACGTACTTCCTGTAGATATGGCCCACCCTGGAGCAGGGGATATCTTCCATGCGACCCCCACACATCCACACCTGCAGGATGGGAAGGGACAGAGAAGACGTTATTTCTGCCTCTCATTCACCATTGCCCCCAAAGGCCACTGTCCCCTCCTCCCATGCATTCATTGAAAGGCTTGGACGGTCTACTAAGCCCCCATTCACAGACTGAGGAAAACACAGTAGTAACAACAGCAGTTTTAAATAGCTGACCGCGCTGACCGCTTACTCTTTGCCAAACGCTATGGTTCAAGCTCTCCATGCCCAACCGCATCAAAGCCTCATCAGAGACCCTACAAGGTGGGTAGTAATGACGCTCCACTTTACCGAGGCTCAGAGAAGCTAAGAGGCTTGTCTGAGGTCACAGGGTGAGTGAGTGGCGGAGCCAGAATTTAAACCCAGCTTCAGCTGACTCCAGAGCGTGAGCTCCGAGCAGGTGCAAGTGCGTGGAGAGCTGTGCTGAGAATTCTAAGGCAGCAATGGGGGCTCAGTGGGAAAGATTTTGGGGATCGCTTTGTGATGTCTGTCACAGGTATGAGAGGGAAGGGATGGCACACAGGTTCTGTATAATCACTGCCTGTGGCATCAGGTTCTGGGGTCTCCTCTGAGACCTGTAAGCCTCCTGCTGGGTCACCGTGAGCAGAGGCCGCAGGCTCCCTGGACGGACTTCTCTGCAGCCTGGGTTCCTAAGCCCCGCAGCTGGGAGCACGGCAGAGAGCAATCCTGAGTTTCTCCTTGGGGTTCCCTACCAGGCTGGCCTCATCCAGAGCTTCCTGCTGGTCTGAGGGCAATTTGGGAATTCATCAGTATCTTGACTCACACCCCCTGCGGGGCCTGGGCTAAATGGACCCTCCTCAGCAGTCCTCGGTTGAAATCCTAGCCCAGCCACTTACCGGGTTTGTGACTTTGATCAAGGTACTTAATTTCTCTGAGACTCAGTTTCCTCATGTGTAGAGGATGAAATGAAGCCGGCCTTGGGGATGAGATCTCGCACATGAAGGGCTTACTGAGCACAACGCTTGGCACACAATCCCGGCAGGGACATGCACCACAGTGATTCATCCAGACATCTGACTAGTATGTACGGAGTATCCACTACGTGCCAAGCATTGTGCTCGGCGCCTACAGGGGTGAATCCGCTCAGGGTGAGTATGGTGCCCAGCTCCAGGATGCCCCCAGTGAGCCTCACCTTCTGGTATTTGTACCTTTAGGGGGTTCCCTCCCAAATGTGTCCCATAAGGACAGACCCGTGTAGCCAACAGAAAAGTCTAGAAACAATGGTCATAGAAGACACCGTGGCTTCTGCCTTCCTCCCTGGGACCACTTGCTTGGGGGCCTCCAGCAGCCATGCTTTGAGGACACTCAGGCGGCTCTGTGAAGTCCTGGTGGTGAGCAGCTGAGGCCTCCTGCTCATTGTGCCAACATGCCAGCCACGTGGGCGAGCCTCTTAGAAAGGGAGTCTCCAGTCCCTGTCCAGCCTTCAGATGCCCGTGATCCTGGCTGACACCTTGACTACAGCCTTGTGACAGAACCTGAGCAGAGCTGTCCTGCTAAGCCACTGCCAACTCCCTGAGCCACACAAAGCTCACGGTACCGCTTACTGCTGCTCTGGGGGTTATTTTGGGGGTATTCTTTTCCTGCAGCAGTAGACAACTAATACAGGAAGGCAGTTTCAGACGGTGATGTGTGCTGTGAGGGAGCCAAAGCGAGGCCAGACTCACTGAGATCTATGAGAGGTTCTGTGACACAGATCAGGGAAATCTTTACTTCGAAAGGAATGTTAGATATGAGACTTAAATAATGAGAAGATAAAAGTAACAAAGATCTGAGGGGTGAGAGAACAGGTGGAGCAAGTGAAAAGGCCCAGGCTTGACTTCATCACTGAACAGAGAAAGCCAGAGGCCTGGATCAGGAGCAGAGACGGGAGCAGAGGTCAGAGAGGTGAGCAGGGACCATCATAAGGGTCTCACAGGGCAAAATGAGGAGTCTTCACCAAAAGCGTTCAGTGAGGGTGACAATATGATCCAATTTCTATTTTACTAAGATGACTCTGCCCGGCTGGAGAATGGGCTAGGATGCAGGGAGGGCCTGGGAGGCTCTTCCAGATAGAGGCAGTCATGCTTCGGTTTTGTGGATGCTGTAGTGATGGTAGGGCTCAGCTGTACTTGGGAATGAATATATATATTCATTCCCAATATATATATACTATATATATATATATATATAGTATATATATATATAGTATATATATATATATAAAATTTAAAATAGGCTCCATGCCCAGTGCAGAGCCCAATTTGGGGCTTGAACTCATGACCCTGAGTCAAGACCTGAGCCGAGATCAAGAGTTGGTTGCTCAACCGGCTGAGCCACCCAGGTGCCCACTCAGTATGTCATTATTAATGTTATTACCATGTTCCCTTGTTTATGAATGAAGAGCAGGAGTGGGAACATTTGCAACCCTGATTCTGTGCAAGAGTATTTTCCATGGGATATTGGGGATCTGGCTTCATGTCTTAATTAATTCACAGGCTCTAGAAGGGCTGCTTTTCCACCTCAGGTACCTGGGTGTCCTTAGTCCCTCATTGGCCTCCGCCAGCCACTGTCTCCAACGACCCCGGAGGTACTGTGGCCCAGGCTGCCTGCAAGGGGATCTGTATGTGTGGGGCTACAATTAGTGGAAGTGCTGCCTGGAGAAATGCAATTATAGTCTGATCTTGGGGGAGAAAAAAAAAAATTGAGCAAGTCAATAGAACAGAACATTGGTCTTGAGATAATGGGCTCCTGATGGTAGATTAATGTCAAGGCCAAGCCAAGAAGTTTATTTTCAAAGCAGGAGATATTGATCAGGCGCCAGCATCCCATAACAATAACTCTTCCTTTATACAAAATGACTGATGTAGAAGTGATGCTTTTGTCTGGCGGATATTGCCCAGCTCGTGGCTGGGCTAGCCCTGCCTTTTGGGAGGCAGAGTGGTGCGGAGCAGGTGGGGGACACCTTATCCCACTCTATTTTTGACTGTCTCCTGGAGAGTTGACTAGGCCGGCATCCAGCTCCCCGAACTCCGTATTAAACTCGCATTAGCTAGCCAGGATGCGTCTCCAGCTCTGCCTGGCAGGAAACCTTCCTTTGTGTAGAGAATGATCAATCTTCAAATCCTTCTCTTTGCTGTGACCTCTGGTTTCTTTGGCCCTGACCACGGTGGTCAACAGCCTGAAGGTTCCTGAAGGACCAGGATGCCCTTGATCTGCTGAGCGGTGTGAGTTGTCCCAAACACCCTCAGAATTCTGAGACGTCCGGAGCCCAGAAGGAGTCCTGGTTTGGGAGGAAGGGTTTACGCCTCAGCTTCCGTGCCTTGACCATGACGCACCGACAGCCGAAAGAGAATGGGAACTGCCTTTAGACACAGGTATCTGTTTGGCTGAAGCTGCTGTCAACCCCCAAGTCCTCTGGGAGCACCCCAACAGCCTGAAAGGGCCCAGTGTAGGGCACGCCCAACTCTTCACAAGTCCCTCTAGCATCTTCCACACTGATCAGCACCTCTGTGGTGTTTGCTGGTTATTTGGCAGGATCCCAAGACTGGAGGGGACTCTTCCTCCAGGAGCATGACAAAAGCTGCAGGCCCAGAACAGGGTTATGTCTCGCCCTGGGTGGGATGTGGTCACAGATGGTCTTGATCCCAGGTCCTGTGGTTCTGCTCATGGCCCTGGACCCCCACTGGTGTACCGTTAGGGCCCTCTCCTGCTTTCCTTCACAGCTGAGACAGCTGCCACCCAGACCCAGGACAGCCATGGCCCGGGGCTCTGAGCACACACCCCTCCCCATTCCCAAAGCTGCCTTGTGCCGCTGTGTGGTTGGTACCAGGCCTTCACCTGTGGCACTGCAGCTTCCCGGGAGCTGCAGTCTCCTGTGATCTGGGCATGACAGCTCACTACTACCTCACCAGGGTGCTCACGTGTAATGGGACAGTGATGAAAAGCACTTAGCTTGATGCCTGGCCGTGGCAGGCTTGACCATGTACATCATTTCTGTTTGCAAAAGAACGAGTAGTACCACCACCTTGAAATGATACAGCATTTGCCCCTTTGCCCAACACCATCATGGTTTCTAACCCGTGGCCTGATTTCCGAAATGGAGAAAATTGAGGCTCAGAGACATGAAGTGGTTTTTCTAACTTAGCGGCAGATCCTGTAGCTGATGAGCATGACGGGGCTGGCGGGGAGGGTGGCTGGTACAGCCATGGGGCACCTCTGGGGGCCTGGCTGCCCCAGGGTGCTTGTCTCTCCCCAAGGTAACACAATAGCAGAAGAAGACTTCAGCTGGTGGCAAAGGGGGTGGGGCACAGCCTGCAGCAGCCAGACCACATGTGGCTGGGACCCCACATATTTGGGTGCAGACACACATAGACCAACAAGATGACATATTTGCAGCCCCTTTCTTTTGTCGGCTTCCTTCCCTCCCTCCCTGTCCAGCCCCTCGCTGGCCTCCTCACCCACAGGGAACTGGCTGCCTGTTACGGGCGCCGGGCTCCTCGGCACAAGGAGTATGCAAACACCCCCCCACACACACCATCAGCCCGTTTCTTGGTGCCTTTCTCCCCTGCAGAACAAGTACAAACCTAATTGTAAAAGCTTGCTCCCCATTCATTTTCATTGCTGCTTTGATTTATTTTATTAGCAAACTTCTTTTGTGTGATGACAGGCTTCATTACAGTGTCTGTAAAAGACAATTACTTGCTCTTCTAAACTGAGGAGCAAAGAAACAAGTGGTGATATGCATCAGAAAGACTCTCTCCCAGAAAGCACAAGGCAGAAGGGCCCGTCCTGTCAGGGGGGACCTCCCTCTGTTGAGGACACGGCTGCCTGGATGCCACCAGGCCTGGGCGGCCGTCCTATCTGCTGATGGCTGGGAGAAGATGACAGCCAGCAACAGCTTCTACTCTTGGCATTTCAGCTGGGGACCTCTAGGGAGTCCAAACCCTATTTAGTTGTACATGGGGAAAATAATAATTACCCCCAGTTATTCTGCCATCTGT